CTCCAACTGTGGAGTTGAATAATCTGCAGTCTGTGGAGGGAAGAGTTGAAAAGTCCAATGAGCAGGCAGTTGGCATAGTCAAGCTGGGACGTGATGAAAGCGTGGATTAGTATCTCGGTGGCCTCTAGTGAGAGGCAATGACGGAGGCAGGTTGGGGAAAGGCGGAATGGATCACGGCACAAATGTGGGATTTGAAGGATAGCTGGGGGTTGGAAAGGACACCAAGGTTTTGCATTGGCTCAGTGAGGTGATAAATGAAGAGTGCATGAATAGTGATTAAGGTGAGGAGGCTCTGCTGGGAGCCAAGCAGGACGGCCTCTGTGTTGCCAACATTGAGCTGGAGGAAGTTGGCTCTCATCCAGGACTTGATGTCAGACAGACAATTAGCCAGGACATTAACGGTCCTGAAGTCAAGGGTGGAAGCAGCAAGACAGAGTTGGGTGTCATCCGCATCCAAATGGAAATTGACCCCATGCCTGCGGAATAATCCACAGCTATCAACAAATAACACCAAGTGGGTGTTCTCGAATTTGGGCTGACAGGCAATAGAGTCCAATTCACAGTATTTCTTAAATGGATTCCTCCATAAAGAATCTGTGTTGCATAAATGGGAAAGTGAAAATATGTTATGTCAATGCAATCTACTTCTTCCCTTGTACTGTGAATTGTAAAGGGATTGCTCATTGTGGCATTGTGTTAAGAAATATCACTTTGGACCCCATTGTTGAACGGGCGTTACAACAACAACAACAAATTGCACTTGTATAGCGCCTTTCACATCGGAAGTCATCCTGTTACATTTGATTTGGGTAGTTGCACCCTTCTTTGAAGGCATTCTATGACCTCTCCTCTCCCCTCTGCCTTGCTCAAGTCCAAACCCATCTCTGTAAAGTGCTCCAAGACATTACCCTGTGTGAAGGCCACTGTATAAATACAAGTTGTTGTTGCTTAATGGTATCCCAACACGGAAAATTGGGCAGATATTCATTCTCTGGCATTGATATCCCTAACCAATAACCAGTCACCAAAAAATCTGAAGTTTTGAAGGGAACATATTTCATACACTGTAGCTTTGAAATTGCATTTCTGTTAAAAAAATTCCGTACAATCATTGAACACAATTCAATCATTTATATTTTTTTAACCAAACTAGAATGCAGTTATTCGGGCTCTGATGCAGTGAGCAGTCACTCAAGTGAAATAGTCGTGTGTTTTTTTTTGTTATTGCTGCTGAATGGAAATTCTAGAATAAATCTGCGTTACATTTGGGGAACATGAAACAATATGCAGAGTAGGGAAAGTAGATATCATGCAAATCATGAATGCACAGGAAAGAGAGGTATGCAATGCAGCATAGTATACAGTAACTCCTAACGTGTGGTTGAATCAATCAAATTTAGCTGAAGGTGGATGGAGTGTGAGTGGAGCAATCTGCCTTGAGTCAGGATTCTGTCTCAAGTCGGAATGTTTCACAGCACATACAGATATGCAGACTCCATCTTACCTCGTTACACAACCAGTCAATGTAGTCCTCATTCATCATCCAGGGCGGGTAACTACAATTCCTGGTGAATGAGAGTCAGATAATGAGAAGCACTTTACAGAGAACAAAATAATCTATAAATCGTTGGCAGTATCAGTTATCTTTGCGCTAATTGATATACAAAATCACAAACAACGGCTTTTCAAAGACCTTTACTGAGTGCATAACTGGGAGGAAAGGTCCTTTGAAGTTATGAGGAAAGGGATCCGGCTTTTAGACGCAGCCCTGTGTGAAAGGTGTCCTTTCAGCGTTACTCTGGGTTTGTCTGTGTGGCTTTTTTGTTGCTGTGTGGAGTTTTACCTGAAATGGAGGAGAGTAACAAAGCGTTTCGATTCTCTGCCTGAAACAGTTACAGGAGAGACTGGACACGTCCTCACAGTGTATTTAGTGAGCTATACAGGAGAGGTGTGTTGTGATCAAGTTTCAATAGACAGAGAGAGCTGCCTTAAAATCTAGAACAGGTCCCTCATAAACTGCGGGTTCTTCCAGAAAGGTGTGTATTGGTGTCGTATTATGTTACCCACTTATATATTCCCCTTTCCACAATATCACTTGTGAATTTTGAAGGTTTTAATGAACCTTATCATGTCCAGTGATGGACGTTTAATGAACTCCTGCCTCGACCAGTGTTGAGGAATCCGCCCAGTTATGGCACTTTTATCAGCAAGACATTCCAACCTTTTTTTTTGTTCGGGTAAAGAGAAAGGTTTTCCATGTGTTTTTGACTGGTTGATGGAACGGTGGCCACTCTCTGAAGACATTGCTTGCCGAGGACACTTCAATTCTTTTGCAAACACCACAGAGGGAGAAGAGTGTGAGAATAGAGTAGAACATTCCGATACGTTCAGTGAGAGAAATGTTGTTAAATGTGTAAACATATGTAGCAAACACACACACACACGTACATATACACTGTATATAGACATATAGTGTTATATGCAAATACAAATCACAGTATATTGCAAACAGATATGGAATATGCATGGCGATAAATGAAAGGCATGCCGATAAATTATATACTTTATGCCCAAATCAATATGATGTAGTATTGCATGAATTAATGTATGGCCAACAGCAATTGCAAATAAGCAGATGAGAATCACTCAACTTTTCACTCACTCACTCTCTCTCTCTCTCAGAATCCCTTTGTCTCTCACCATTGCTGTGTTATCCCCCCCCTCACTCATCTCCCCTCTTTTTCATCTCCTCTCCTTACAATTCATGGTGTCTCTTATTCCTGTCTTTCCATGGTTTGTGTCTCTTGATCCCCGTCTGTCTGTCTGTCTGTCTGTCTGTTACTCAGCCTCTCCCTCTCCCTCTCTCTCTCTCTACCTCCTATGTTTCTCTGTGTCTTGTTCAGTCTGACTTTCTCTCTCCTGACTCTGGGTTTGGTTATGGTTCTCTCTCTCTCTCTCTCTCTGTGCCTCTAAATTGTCTCTGTTTCGCCGTCTGTTTCGGTCCTCTAACCCTCTCAGTTTTCTAGCTCCTCCTCGCCATTCATTTTGCTTCTAATCTTAATAATAAATCTCGTTTCTCTCTCTCTCATTATTGTTTTAAAAGTCTCAGTTTCGTACGTCCCTCACTCTATCTGCTGTCGTGTCTCCCACTCACTGTCGGTTTCCTTCTCCTTTCTTTCTGTGTTCTCTCTCTCTCTCTGTTCTCTCTCTCTTTCTCTGTCTTTCTCTTTCTCTTTCTCTCTCTATCTCTCTGTGTTCATCACACACACACACACACCCCATCTCTCTGTCCCTCTCCCCCTCTCTGTCCCTCTCTGTCCTTCTCTTTCTCTCTCTATCTCTCTGTGTTCATCACACACACACACACCATCTCTCTGTCCCTCTCCCCCTCTCTGTCCTTCTCTTTCTCTCTCTATCTCTCTGTGTTCATCACACACACACACACACCATCTCTCTGTCCCTCTCCCTCTCTCTGTCCCTCTCTGTCCTTCTCTTTCTCTCTCTATCTCTGTGTTCATCACACACACACACCCCCCATCTCTCTGTCCCTCTCTGTCCTTCTCTTTCTCTCTCTATCTCTCTGTGTTCATCACACACACACACACCCCATCTCTCTGTCCCTCTCCCTTTCACTCTCCCCTATTTCTCTTGTCTCCTTCCCTCCCTCCCTCTCTCTCTCTCTCTCTCCTTCCCTCCCTCCCTCCCTCTCTCTCTCCATCCCTCCCTCCCTCTCTTGTATGTATTCTTCCCTCTATCTCGGTCTCTGTCTCTTCATGTTTGTTTCTGTGAGAGCAAACCATGCGCGTTGACGTCAGGGCTGCCCAGATCAGCCCCCTCTCCATCCCTCCCTCTCTCCCCCTCTCCCTGTCTCTCTCCCTCCCTCCCCCTCTCCCTCCCTCCCTGTCACTCCCAGTTCCTGGCGTGTCTTGCCTGTCAGTCTGTGGCAGCAGCTCCAGCTCCGGCTCCACACGCTCCGGTGTAATCCATCCCCAAAGCCGCCGCTAATACCTTCAGCGAAAACTAATGCCAACGGCGTGAGACCCGCAGCTCCCGCTCTGCTGTGCTGTGCCCTCCCCTCCCTCAGCCCAGGGACCCCGGGCTCTGCTGTGCTGTGCCCTCCCCTCCCTCAGCCCAGGGACCCCGGGCTCTGCTGTGCCCTCCCCTCCCTCAGCCCAGGGACCCCGGGCTCTGCTGTGCCCTCCCCTCCCTCAGCCCAGGGACCCCGGGCTCTGCTCCCCAGCCCTCCCCTCCCTCAGCCCAGGGACCCCGGGCTCTGCTGTGCTGTGGGGCACATGTCCTTGGCTTCTCCTCGGGTAGTCACACTTTTGCGGGGTGCAGTCACTTTCGGACGTGTCGTGCTTTGGTGACGGTGTGTGTGTGTGTGTGGGGGGGGGTGTGGGGTGTGTGTGTGGGGGTGTGTGTGGGTGTGTGTGTGGGTGTGTGTGTGGGTGTGTGGGTGTGTGTGTGTGTGGGGGGGTGAGGGCTGAGTTCCTGAGCTCGGGATCCTCGCAGTTGGAGCTGCTGTCGGGATCGGGGAAAAGCTATTCCGCTGAAAACTCCCTCCCAAGTGAGAGTGGGGGCTTTTCCCGTGACTTTTTCGCCGGTTAAAAAAAAAGGATGCGTTAAACCCACCGCCCCCACCACCGCCCACCCCAACAACCCCCCCCCCCCCCCCCCCACCACCGCCCACCCCAACAACCCCCCCACCACCGCCCACCCCAACAACCCCCCCCCCCCCCCCCACCACCGCCCACCCCAACAACCCCCCCCCACCACCGCCCACCCCAACAACCCCCCCCCCACCCCCCAAAAAAAATAGAGAGAGAGAGAGAGAGAGAGGGAAGAAATCAATCTCCCAGTGAGTATGATCCCCGGGATCAGTCGTGTTGGGTTTGATCGTTCGCTAATCCGCGTTGCAAAGTGCGGTTTGCAGAGTATGGGCGGCGGGAGGACGCCGGAGCTTTGCTTCTGAAGTTATTCCCCGCAGCAAACACGCGACCATGGAGTTGTCCGAAGTGCGCTGCTCCAGCGCCAGTGAGGAGCTCTACACCATCAACCGGACTCCGGGAACCAGACCCAAGCGGCTCCTGTGGCAAAATGCGGTCCGTCACATCACCGAACAGCGCTTCCTCAACGAACACAACAGCGCGAAGACCGTCTCCTCCTCCGAGGACTCGTGGAGCCCCGACGGGAGGAAGCCGTCCGCGGGCAGAGCCTCCATCGGCGGCCACAACAACAACGGCGGCACTAAGGTCTTCCCCGAGCGGACCAGCAACGACCTGGGCTTCCTGCACCTGGACTGCGCTCCCACCAACTCCGACTTCTTCCTGAACTGGGGCTACACCTACCGCGGGGTCATCTTCCCGACCCTGAGGAACTCCTTCAAGTCCCGCGACCTGGAGCGGCTGTACCAGCGCTACTTCCTGGGCCAGAGGCGCAAGTCCGTGGTGGTGATGAACATCCTGGACGTGTTGACCAAACTCACCGTCCTGATCCTCCACCTGACCCTGGCCTCGGCCCCCATGGACCCGGTCAAAGGCATCCTCCTGGGCTTCTTCACCGGCATCGAGGTGGTCATCTGTGCCTTAGTGGTGGTGAGGAAGGACACCACCTCTCACAGTTACCTGCAGTACAGCGGCCTGGTGACCTGGGTGGCCATGGCCACTCAGATCCTGGCCACTGGCCTGGGCTATGGACTGCTTGGGGACGGCATCGGCTACGTGCTCTTCACTCTCTTTGCCACTTACAGCATGCTCCCTCTGCCCCTGACCTGGGCCATCCTGGCCGGCCTGCTCACCTCTGCCCTACACCTGGCGGTGCGCTTACTCTTCCCTCCAGCTGCCATCCCAACCACAAACCAGGTAGCTCCTTGTGAACGGTGTACATCCAGAGCACACTCAGGAGGGATGCTTGTGTGTGTGTGTGTGTGTGTATGTGTGTGTGGGTGTGTGTGGTGGGGGGAGAGGGATGGGGGGTCATCCTCCGAAGCACTGGTTTGGCGATGAGTTTCCATGTATGAGAAGTAAACTTTCCCAGAGAACGGTTTATTCCTTCTGGGCTTGTCCATCAATCCATGTCTCTGTCCCGTTGGTAGCGAGCTATGTATCTGCGTAATCTGAACAACAATCTATAATTGTCTTGAGTTTCCTCGCGCTGTTGTCTAATTCCTTCCAAGTCTTACTTCGGCATTTGTCTATCTGTTCGCGCGTCAGTGATATTCATTGTGTCCTATTGGAAAAGAGAAGAGAGTTTCTCTTTCCCGTTGTCCTGGCCAACAATCCCCCAAATCAAATTGGTCGCTCACTCCATGACTGTTTGTGGGATATCGCTGTGCGCAACTGGCTGCCGAGATTTGCTTGCAAAATACACAGTCACGGTATATTCTATGAAGTGTTTTGAGATGCTCGTTACACAATAAGGCGCTGTATCAAATGCAAGGATTATAGAGACCAGGAAACTGCTCTCTCCCAGTTGTCAGGTGTACCACTGCAGGGAGGGACAGATAATCAGAGAGAGGGAGGAGAGATAGGTAGATAAAGAAAGATTTATAGATAGACAGACAGAGAGAAAGAAGTTGGTAGTTCATTGCAGTTCAACTTGCCTGACCATTGAATGGGACCTTTTAATGTCAATTCTTTCAACCGATCTTTATTGCAGCAAAGAGAAAACGCTTTTTATTTCAAAAACATTCCAAATTATTCCTCCTGCTGCATGGTTTAACTTAAAGCCCAACTCTCACTAATCCTCTGAGTGCAAGTCTTAGCATCGTAGCCAGGCTCCCTCTAGTGATGAACGGTTGACATTTCAAGAAGTCTTTTTTCCCCATTTCCCTGCTAGAACAGTTAAACGCATAGATTAACGCAATGAATGACTTTATTTCAGATGCTGATCAGTATTAATTCAATGGTCAGTGTAGTAGTTTCAAGTTGCTTTTACTCTGTCCAGAATAATTACAATTTTATTTTACTGTTGACTGTATTTGCAAAACAATCATCATAATCAAATGTTAGATAAATGTATTTAGTTTTCGGAAAGAGAAATACAGCATTTTCTCATTTTTATTACACAAACATACCTAATAGAGTATCTTTTATAACTGCTCCAAAATGCAGTAACTTGGTATAAATCATATGCAATTCATCATGCTGTAGAAAGAATAAGCAGAAATAAAATCTATATAAGCAAAGACAAATATGTTGTTAAATGTAATTGCAATTCACTAATAATTGTGGCCAAACAATCATCAGGTATATGTTTTCATGTCAGAATAACGAACTTGATCAGCGTGATCCAATCATTCAATGTAAATTACACCGAGTCGTGAGTTCTACATCTGACACCTTAAAATAGCAGACAACATGTGTGTTTACGATTTAGTAAGGCTATGTGGAAGTGTTACCTGGGCTGAAGTGATTGAGTTATTGGAGATTAACCCTTCTTTCCATTTATAGATCATGTGCGTCACTTGGCTAAAGCATCCTCTTGCCTCTAATTAGATTAGGGTGGCCTGTACTTTCCTTTGTTGTGGCTCTAATAGTCAACAGGAGGGATAAATATCTCCATTCAGTCCTTGTAAATATTCACCAGTTTTCAATATATTCTGAAGCCATTAAAAGCTATCACCCTTTTATTATGTATTTTATTGTGCAGGGTCCATTTAATAGATCAAAAAGGCGAATTATGCATACTGAATTCATTTGGATTAAACAGGAACCATTCCCCTACTGGACAAATTTGAAAACATAAAGACTTTGTTATTTGTTTATATGACAACACAACAAAAGACATCTCTATCATCAATAGGAGAAATAATGCAAAACTGCATCCATGAATTAATAGTATGGTCCCATTCTCTGACCAGTCTAGACGTTCTCAGCTGCAATGTTATATTTACTGTACATTGGAGTACAAGATCAGGTGGTGAATGCTGAAATCTTGCTGGGAATACAGTGGCTTGTTTTTGTTGTTTCAGGTGATAGCTGAATCTGTGCTGTTCATGTGCATGAATATAGCCGGCATCTTTATCAGTTACCTGGCAGACCGAGCACAACGCCAAGCCTTTTTGGAGACCAGGAGATGTATAGAAGCCAGACTACGCTTGGAAACTGAGAATCAGAGACAGGTAGGGGCAGCAGTAGAGATACTCAATTCCTCTCCCTCCAGCAAACAGGAAACATAACATTCCAACCTTCCTGACACTCAAAGAATAAAACTGAAATTTGCATTAAGCTTAAAAGTGTTGCAAGAGGAAACAAATAGAAAATATTACAAATGCAATGTTTTAAATAGCAAGTTATTTAAAATTTGTACTTAAAATCCCATAATATACAGACCCAGCATCTTAAATCTTTAACGTATTCTACTATCATTGGAATTCATTGGAATATTTTATAAATTCCCAGTTGGTAAATAATTGCTTGAGCAGTAACTCACAGGTTTCAGAGGGTGACTAGATTGGAACGTCAGCAGGCAAGTGGACCTGCAGATTAACATGAAAACTGCCTGGACGTTTTGAGAAGCGGTGTTTAGCAATTGCTTACATCCGCTCTGTCTGACCCTCTTTCAGTTTATCCACTCAAGAGTAATCAGGATATGAGGGACAGGTTGTATAATGCTACCCCCTCGCTTTTTAAACAAGTGCTCTGTGAATCTAAACGGTGCTCTGTGGAGCAAATCACTTTGCTAGTTAATTTAGCTCCAACGTGGTGTGTTATTTTGATGTTGCAAAGGTGGCGAATGATATCAGTTTCTCTGCTGCTATCCTACAACCCAGTTGAGGGTTAATGCATCGGTTAAATTAAGGCTAGCCTGTTTTCTGGGTGTTTTTGACATGTAGCAAAATCCACACACACTTTAGCTATTGATGCCAGGCATGGTTGTGGATTCATCCTCACTAACGGAACCCAACTTAGCAATGTTGCAATTAATATTTGACAGTCTGTTAGGTATTGTTAACTAGTGAATGTAAAGCTAATTTACTCGCATGTTGTTAAAGATGGAGTGAGAATGTTGCATTGTGGAGTGTGAATTGGATTCCTCAAACACACTGTTCGACGGTCTCCCCAACTTCACTATTCAAAAGATCCAGCTCATTCAGAACTCTGCTGCCCGCATACTTACCCGGAACCAAACTCCGTACCCACATCTCACCAGTTCTGGTCAAGCTCCACTGGCTCCCCATCACCGAACGGATCAACTTCCAAGATCCTTACACTCGTGTTCAAATCCCCTCACTCTCTGGCAACTCCCGACCTCTCCAATCTCCTCACTCCCCAATCCACCACCCGGCACCTCCGCTCGACTGGCACCAGCCTCCTGCTTGTCCCTCGCACCCTCTGCTCCACCATCGGAGGTTGTGCTTTCAGCCACTACTCCCCAAAACTCTGGAACACTCTCCCTCAATCCCTCTGCCTTGCTTCCTCTCCCCGTTTTCAAGTCCCACCTGAAAACCTTCCTGTTCGACCGTGCTTACAGCCACTTCTCCCCACCCCCCTCCCGCTTTGTTACCAAAATAAATTAGTGACAATTCTCATCATAACCATTTCTAACTCTAAAGAATTGCCCAATTCAGCCCAAGTTATGAATGAGAAATGTCCGAAATGATGGCAAGTGGAATAGGAATGAATAGGAAGTTAAAACAAAATGTACAACATTTCAATTGAACAGTAATGTTGAAACCAGTCACGATACAGATGCCAGGCTGAGGTACGATTAATGTCCTGGTGAGTGCTGGCTGAGGGACTTGCGTTAATAATAAGCCAGTATTTATATAGTATTATGCAGGAAATGCTATTTCAAAATCGTTGACAACATAATTTGATCATTTATGAATGAAATGGGAAGGTCTTTTTAACTCTTCTTCCATTTTTCGATTGGGTGCCACTGTTAAATGCTTTGAGACATCTTTCTGATATGAAAGGCACTTTATAAATGTTAATTGTATTGCATTGAATCACAGTGTCAGAATTCTAGCAAGATATTTGTCATTTAAAAAAAGCTTTCTCCTTTGTGTTCCCAAAGCTTTCCTCTGGTGTTACAGTTTATATAAGAGTTATCTGTATTTGATTAACGTTTGCCTATAAAAATGGGGTCACTATACTTTTACAGTAAATGCTATGAAACTCTTTGAGGTGCCCTTCCAATGTGAAAGCCTGTGTATCAAATTCAAGGATTAATATTATAACATGATTGTCTTATTAGGATCTCAATATTGCACGATTGCAACAATGAACTGTTACATTGAGAAAAGAAAACCTTTTCATTTTTTCAAATACTCTTGTAGCGTGTTAGTGGTAAGTCTCCTCACTTGTCACTTATTGAAAATGTGCTGGTTTCAATGCAAGGAAGCTAAAAATAACCAAAATACTTTAAGCAAAACAGCTGATGGATTATCTCTCCCCTACTTCCTTACTTCGAGGTTTGTCTCAAGCTGAGTGCTTTTGCATCCCACAGACCAGTAAAACTAATTGGCGTTGATAAAGCTACAATAAAGGGCCTGAGAATGAACCCTTTTTCAGTTGCAGTTCTAATTTAAATTACCAATCATTATTATCGAGCTCTAACCCTGAAATCTCTTAAAATGTGTGCAGAAGAAGTGAATGAAATATTATGCTAACAGTAACTAATTCCAACCTGCCTTCTCATCACTTGGAAAATATTCTTGACTTTTTTTTTAAAAAACAAGATCAGCTTCTAAATTCAGTCTGACAGAATGAGCTTATGACCGTCCAGATGTCACATAACTACAGTATCCCCTTATGTCACTAATAGCTAGGACAGTCTTGCCAATGAGGTTTACATTTGCAATTTGCAGTTTTCTTTAATAGCTTAGGACTTCAAGCAAGGAGAATGCAAACATTAGGAATGACAACATTAATCCGGAAACATGTACCTAAATGATACGAGAACCAAATGTAACACTATTGGTGCTGTGTGTGGTTGTACAACCAGTTAATTATTTCCCATTCCTTAGCCTCAGAATTTTGCTTCTGGGTCTGAAAATTCTGAGTGATGGAAACCCCACATCAGGACTTGAGTTCGTTGTCTTGGCTGTAATCGGGGAGTGCCATTTTACGAGATGTGCTGTCCTTTTAATGAAATGTTAACCTAAGCTTTCATCAGTCTGTTTCAGTTGAAAATCCCTGACACTATCCAAAAAGAATTCCCTGTGCCTTGGTCAACAATCCTCCTGATAAATCCTCCTGGTCATTCATTTTATGGTTTTTCATGGAACCTTTTTGGCACAAATATCTGCTGAGATTACCTGCAAAAACATTCACTACACTTGATAGTAATAACCTGTGAAGCAATTTGAGGTGTTTTTACGTTATAAGGCACTCGAAAAATGCAAGTTCTTTCTTCGTCTCTCTCTCTGGGGAGATGCCAAGCTTCAGTCAGAGAACAGGATCCACGACACATTGGATCCAGACGTTTATTCCAGAAGTAATTTGATAATTCATTACGTTGCCAGAAAGTTTAACAAAAATGACTTTCATTAACAAAATATACCAAAACTGCGCTGTTATGTCATAAGATAGGAAACAGACTCGCTGTACACCAGCACACTGGCCTGTCGCTTGCATTACATTCAGAGAGTTGAAAAAGATCTGCAAGACTAATTTTTGGCAACAGTAATCACCAAAAAAGTATGTTCTTATCAAGCTGAGGTATTAAGGGATGGAAGTCATTCTTATTCTGGGCAACTCAGGTGTCAAGGAACAGGACTCTTGGGCACAGAAACAGCCACGATCCCTCTACCTTCCCCCTCACTGTGGGGAAAATAGAGGGATTTGCCAAATCTGCCAAATTCCAGCACCGATGAATACTGCCTCAAAGCCAACCAATTTTAAACAGTTGTTAAATAAGTCTAAATCAATTAAATAAAAAGATCTTTGTAAATCTTTGTAAATCCATACCCATTGTGAGCTAGGGTGAGGCTATCTAAGTCACCTTACAATGCCAACACACACAGAGAATGGAGACTTTTGTGCCATCGATCCCAATTGATTCAAACCCATATTTTCTCAGTGGTGAACCGACAATGTACAAACCCAGGGAGAGACTCAGTCTACCCGCCCCCAGCACATTTTCTACATCAGCCTTGTGTTTAAACTGTTGAAAATGTTTTCAGTTTCATCCCACATTTGGAGGGTGACATACTGAAGCATTACTCAGCGTCTGAACAATAATACATTCAATTACAGACTAATGAAAATAGCTGTTAGGTGGCTATTCATTTGCCATTCTTACTGGCAGACTGAAGGCTCTTTGAAAATAACTATAATTTTTGAACATCAAATAAAAGAATAACCGCTAACATTTTTTTGCAATTGAGGAAGTGATCTGCTAAAGTACGCACACATAGCCTTCGCACAAACCTTTCATATCCCATCATGTCAGATCCAATATTGTCACATTAGGTACATCATGAGCTATCAGGGTAAATGAGGCTTTCACACCTTCTGTTGAGTGCATTTTGTAATAAAGTAAGCACTCAGTGCTATTAAAATGCAAATATGCAATCTGCAGTTATTTGTTGGTAAGAATCCTACATTTCTATTAGAAGTAAAAGCTCAGCTTTGTTTCTCATTCATTCAATAGCACAGTGAGGCTTATTTAGCTCGGATATAGCTGATATCATCTCCACTATGAAATGAAAAATTACGTGCATGTTAGGAATATTAAAAGGAAAATTAATTTCAATGGATAAGATATCATTTTATCGATAATCTTTTTATTTTGTTATTGTGAATGTTACTTGCTTCCTTCATATTCCTCTGTTCAGATCAATGTAATATCTTGCTCTGTTATTTCGGCCACTTCAATCCCTATCTTGTCTTTTTACCCTTGCTAAGAATCTCACACAATATCACAGCATGCTGCGGCCTGCCCTCATTCCATTAATCTCATTTAGTAATGAAATTGATGTAATTAGATGATGAGAATGATTTTAAATAGGATTCAGTGACTTCTAAAATATAGCAATAATTTATGACAATGGAGGTTGAGGCAGGCAATTGCACTGATCAGTAAATTTACCAATTTACAGAATTTCAGCAATTTATTGATTTAGAAGAATTTCATCCTTAAAGATACCTAAAAAGTGCATCGTCCTCTTTACTAGAGCAATACAGAATCACTGTGAAACCGGCACAATAATGGAACAGCTAGCTAATGAAAGGCATAGCACTACTATTAGGGCAAGAGTTCTATAGCAGCATTAGGATGTTGATTCATGTCTTTATTCCTCTTTTAATAAGATTCCCAACTCAGCTGTGGGGAGGTGTTCGGTGAAGCCGGAGGCTACCCCACAAGGAGAGAGGCAAAATCCGAGGCAGCGTGCAATTAGCAGGATCATGAGGGAATGTCCTTTCTCCTATGGGAAAATGCTCATAGTTCAGAGAAAACAAAGAAAGAGATCAAAACAGATTGTGGGAGAGCAAGAAAATGATAAATGGTTCTCGTATTCTCTTTAACCATTTGACAAACATTGAGTAACAAGGAAATAGGAGCTAAATCTTTCTGTTTACATTGAAGAAAAGTCATAAACATGCCAACAATTTGATCAATATTTACAATCTTAAATAAAGTGCAAATAGAGTGTTTCACACTAGGCAAATCATTTGACTAAGTTCCTAATGTTGTTCCTGTGTTTGCTTGGTTATTTTTACACAATTAAGGAGAGGCTGGTTCTTTCAGTTTTGCCGCGGTTTGTGGTCTTGGAGATGATTAATGACATGTCAAACGTGGAAGATGAACACCTGCAGCACCAATTTCATAAAATCTACATTCATCGCTACGAGAATGTGAGGTAAGAGACCAACACCTTTCATTCACTATTATCATAAACCTGTGCTTGTTACAGGAAATGCACATGTGTTGAACAGAGGAATGTCTTGCTGGTGTAAAATTGCAAACAAAAAAAGCCAATTGAATGAAGCTTCTGCTGCAGTCCAGTATTTCTGATCTACATCTTAAAAATATAACAAACCCTATTCCCCAACGAACAAACTCATTCACTCATTGCACACAAGGATCCCTAAGCTCATACCCTTTGTAAACTCTGTGCTAAACCACAATGATGGATTGAATTTAAGGCACTTGTAAAAAAAAAGTAAAGAGTAGTAACCCAAGCTTTCTAAAAGGTTGAGAAAAGAAAATAAGCAAAATCAATACCAATTTCTTGTGGGAAATTAGATGAATGATCTAGATGGACCCAGAGTCTGCTCCTGGCTGCAAGTTGTTACAATCTAAGTTGTAGGTTTCTAGAAGGGATCCTTCGGTTTAGATGATATATGAAGCTCGTATTTTGGTCTGTTTTTTCATTCTAGAAAAAAATGAGTTTTTAGCAAAGTGGACTTTTTTCGATTGGTGATATGGTACAAAGAAGCAGACTCTAACATGCGGGGAGTATTAAGATCATTTTTAGAGTTTAAAAAAGCAATTCCCCTTTTTGCTATTGAGTTCAATTCATCCATCAACAACTGTGAAAGACAGTCTTTCTGATAAAAGTAGGTTTTTGGTCTAAGATGACATAGAATAATGACAAAGTATATTAGCGATAAAATGAGCTAAAATTTGTGACGTGGCTTTTATGTGTTTTTTAGCTACAAGGAGTGAATGAAGAAGAGATAAGATGGGTGTGTGTTTAGCCACTAACATAAATGGAAATAGTCAGGCTTTACCCCTTACTGTATGTATCATTTGAGGAGTCTGAATGAAGAACCAGTTATCTACTCTCTCAGTTGAATAGGTCAAGAAATAGGGGAGGAGGATATTTTAAAATGATCATGACATGGAACTTGAAAAAGTAGTTGGCAGGTAGCAAAGTGAATGAAAATAATGTAAATGGAGGTATTGCACTTGAAGTATAATTGATTATGAGATGACATGTTTTGCTGAACAAAAAATATTAATAAGATCTTTTCTTATTTTATTTAGCATTCTCTTTGCAGACGTGAAAGGTTTTACCAACCTCTCAACAACCTTGTCCGCACAGGAACTAGTTAGGATGCTGAATGAACTTTTTGCAAGATTTGATCGACTTGCACATGTAAGTTGAAATAAATGGGCATAAGATGTTTAACTGAATTGAACGTGAACTCTGGTACTATATTCAGTGTAATAAGAGTCTTCAATGTTTATCTTATCTGTTTTTATATATAGACCTCTATGGATTGTTTCAATTAATTCATCTTGAACTAAATTTCCTTTACTGTTTATATCTTCCAAGTTGTTATAGTTTTTGGTTAATTGATGGATATTTTGAGATGTGGAAATCACCTTAACTTGTATGAATTATGCCCGCTAGTCTTTATTTCTTTGTGGAAATATATTTTATAGCTACAATCATAACTAAATGTCATTTGGAAATCATTAGATGAGATGTTTAATGAAATGTTCAGATGGACATCAAAGATCCAAAGTTGAAAAGAAAAGGGAGTTTTCCCCAGGTCCTGGCCAACATTCTTCCAATAAAAATGGTCATTCACTTGATGGCTGTGTATTGGGCATTGCTTGTGCAAAATGGTTGCCACATTCATCTATAAAAACGCAGTCATTACATTTTCCAGTAAAGCTCTGTAACCTACATTTAGAGATGTTTTGAAACTTAATAAGATGCTATATCACATGCAGCCATTATTATTATTAGATTAAATTCAAGGATTATTGATTTATGTCCCTTAATGGGACTGATCCTCCTGGACTATCAAGCCATTTACTGATACAATTGCAAAAGAGAGAAACAAAATCTTTGATGAGCTCTTATCTTCCTTCTGCTATCCTTTGAATGAGATGTGAAACCAAGGTCCCATCTGCCTGTTCAGATGGAGGTTAAAGATCCCAGGACACTATTTGAAAAGAGAAGGGAATTTTTCCCGGTGTCTAGACAACAAATCCCCCAAATAAAATTGGTCACTCACTCCATGGCTAATTGTGGGATATTGTTGTGCACAACTGACTACTGCATTCACCCACAAAATACACAGGGACCTCACTTTACAGTATATCCTATGAAGCACTTTGAGATATCGCGAAGACGTGCTAAAGCGTTTATCAAATGCAAGTATTATTATTATTATATATCTTGACGATATATGATAAAGCACTAAGGCAAATGTGAGGGTTCTTATCTCTTAAATGTGAAGTGTGTATTTTTTACGAGCTTCAGTATCTGAGTGCTTGAAGTATGTGATGCTTAGAGCATCAATATCTGAATGCTTGAAGTGTAGTATGTACTTCTTAAGCCATTGATATCTGTCTATATCAGATCTGTGATCAAGCCAATTCTGTTTATAGTGGGTATTCAATTTCCTGGTAATTTTTGGCAAGGTAAATTGTCTCCTTCAACAAGAAGGTCATTGAAAGTCACCATAGGACTGTTTCATATTAGTGACATCAAGATGTCAGTCGTGTGTTTTTCATTGCATGTCTTTGCAAATGTTCCAAAACTTACGGGTGTTGATAGGTTATTGCATAGCTTATTGTTTTCAATATTGTCTTTGAATTAAATTTAAATTACCATTTAGATGCCTTGCAAATTAATTATTTTAAAAGGCTTTCTTGGCTTAGAAATTGGTTAGAAATGGCACTTGGGTCTAGATTTGTTTTTTTTTCCTTGGCATTTCAGAGCATTTGGAATTTGGCAAATTGATTAATACAGTACAGTCTTAATTTTGAAGCTAAGTTCTTCCATAAGTTCTTTTAAAAATGACAGAAAAACAACTTCAAAGTGCAGAGGGAATTCAGTATTTTGCCAAGTTTGGGATGCTTTGAAATGCTAAGAAAATAGAGTAAAACTGGACCTGAGTGGAATTTCTGTTACCATCCCAGTTTGTTTATATAAGAAAAATAATTAATAGCTTCTTCATGTGCATTTGAAGGGCCATTTTGTTTATCCACTTTATCAAGTATTTTATAAAACAAACAAGATAAATGCTGATGTCTCATAAATACAGCAAAAATTCACTGAAATCTTTTTTAAAAAAGTTACTGTTGAAAAGATTCAAGTATACCCATGTACCTGTTCATATCAAGCACTTAATAAGCTGGGAAGTACCTGTCTAAGAGGATATTCAGAATTCTCTCCCAGATGCCTGAGGATCTGAATTAATAACAGATAAATAGTTTGCAAAAGAAAGTGGTCATTCTTAACAACATCTGTGAAAGCCAAGTACGTTTTCACGGTTTCCTTAACTGGCATTCAGAGCAAAAGACTACAAAGTACACAAACTCTTAATCTATTAGAATTCATGCAAAAACAATCTATAGGGAAATACAGACTGCTTTAAATTCAGTTACAAGCAGTTTTAAAATAATTTTCATTTATTTGGCGGGAGGAAATAGACCGCAGTTTCCAAGGCCTAATGTAACCTGTTAGGTTTAACAGTTAGGGGAAAAAATTGAGATAAGTTGTGCCTAACAGATCTGAGGGAATGTCTTTGCTAGCATCAAAGAGAAAACCAATTAGATAGAGTTAATACGTTTCATAATGAAATTGGCACAGACATGCAGATCTCTGGAGAGGTAACTAGGATGGTAATGTAAATTAGAATGGGTAACTATGAGGTGAAGCCCTTCAGAAAGCAACAATTACTTCAAATGACTACTCTGAAAATGGCACTTACTTGATCACTGGGGAGAAGAACAGAATAGCAGCCTGATATAATTTTCGGCACAATTTTAGCTTGTGCAGCCGTTGCAGTTATTTTTCTATAGTGAAATTAAACACATTTGGCACAACTTAGATCATTGATTTGCTCAAAAAGGGCATCACCTCCTGAAATCACGAAATTTGATGGTAATAATTACACGCTCTGAGATGCTACCCCACATGAAGGGCACTACTAATACATGCAAGTTGTTGTTGTCGTTCAAAACTTCATCTGGAAGGTACTTGTTTAGGTTGGTGTAATGCTTTAATTAGATTTTCTGATTTTTTTTTAAAACCCACCTGGAGTATTTTTTTCCAAACTCTTGTTGTATGCGATCAGTGAGCAAAGGTGGATTGCTTGCTATTGTTCATATTTTCCTTCAGTAAATATAATTTTCAAGTGTGTTCAACCTTAGATACCACACCACTGCTCCTTCCCCAGAGTATACACATGTGAAAGAAATCAAGTGGAATACAGTTTTCCTTTAATTGTATTGTAATTTTTTTAATCAAAGCGAGGTATAAATATATTTAAGATAAGGATGTATTTTTATGCTGCAGTATGTGAGGAAATTCCATCGAACAGAATGATGTAGGATTAAATATATATATATATTTACTAACATTTTAGGAGCATCACTGCCTTAGAATTAAGATCCTGGGAGACTGTTATTACTGTGTGTCAGGCCTCCCTGAGCCACGCCAGGATCATGCACACTGCTGTGTCGAAATGGGTCTTAACATGATCAAAACTATCAGGTAATTCCTTCCGATCTGCAGTTAATAGTGAAGTGCACCAGGCCGTAAACTTGGATATTACATTTAAGTCTGTGAATTGAAAGAATTGAGCTTACTTATGCATAGAATTATTTTACTGTGCATTTAAAGGGTAAAGATTAATGGATATTTTGATTCATTAAATAATCCAATACAATGTTTCTCTGTCCTCGTTCAATATAGAGACAGGAGTGGCTTCCTGAAACAACACAAGTCATTTGAATTTCATTTTCTAGCCAGCACAGACACCAGTTTCTCAAGAGAAGTGCCGAAGCTTAAATGCACAATTTAACAGGCTTTTATTTTTTGTTTCTTCAATCTGGACACCAAGTTCAATTCTTAAATGCATTGCAAAATTTAATCTGCGATGATGAAGCATTTCCATGTTACGAAACCTTGAATGGGCAAAGAAAAACAAGTTGGGAGTTTTTTTTATGTGTTTTTTTTAAATTGGTCCTATGCCCCAAAAGCCTCACTCATCTATATACAACACTCAATTACCAATATCTTTCTCACGATCAGACAACTGATGGTGGCGAGATAGGCACCAAAGGTAATGGGTTCTGCCCTTAGCTGTTGCTTTGAGGCCTGTGACTTCCCAGCCCGGCTGAAATCAATGCTGTAACTCACTGTTTAAATAAACAATAACTGGGGACCAGGAAACCTGATCAGCCTCCTTTGTTGACATTTAAACATGTTCTCCTCAGCAAGAATTTAATACCATTTAAAAAATGTCAGGATATCGATTGTATTTCAAAAAGGACTTTTTTTTAAAAAAATAAGGATTTATCAATTCCAAATCTCTTTCAAGTACTCAATACATAATATTCATGCATTAAGGCAAAAAATTAACAATGGATTATTTCAACAAAGTACAAAGAGCTTTTATAAGAGGAAAAATAGACTCAATTATTTTAAGGAATTTAATATAGGAAAATACAATGTTCATACTTTGGTAGTATCCGACTATACCTCACTTCTAATGCAGCTCAAACCCTCGTCGATGCTTTCGTCACCTCCTGCCTCGACTGTTTCAATGCCCCCCCTCTCCAGTCTCCCCAGCTTGATTATCCACAAAATCCAACTAATTCAAAGCTCTGCTGCCCATATACTCACCCGCTCTAAACTCTGTATCCCCATCACTCCAGTCCTTACCAGGCTCCACTGGCTTTGTATCATAGAATGGATCGACTTCAAGATCCTAATACTCTTCTACAAACCCCTTTATGCCCTGGCATCTCCCTACCTCTCCACCGTGCTCACTCCCCAATCCACTACCTGTCAGCTCTGCTAGATTGGCTCCGGCCTCCTGCTTGTCCCTCATCCCCTCCACCATTAGCGGCAATGCTTTCAGCCACCATGCCCCAAAACTCTGGAACTCTCCCTCATTCCCTCTGCTTTTCTCCCTCCTTCCTGATTTTTGGATTACGCCTGAAGACCTTCCTCTTCGACCATGCTTACGGTCACCTCACCCTGGCTTGGTGTCATTCTCCGCCATTGTTAAGGGTTCTGATATGCCACCCTGCATGAAAGGCGCTATATAAATGTTGTTATTATATACAATTATAAACTGCAAATAGAAAGGCAGGTCAGTACTCTAAGGAAGTTATTCTACTCCAAATAAGTTATACGTTTAAAATTTCATCAGAGATATTTGGGAGGGTACAGGAACAATTTGCAAAAGGTACCGATGCATCAGTGGATGTTTGCCAAGGAGTAGAATAACCCTAAATGAGAAATATACAATATACAAACCCAGCTACTTCATAACATAATATCTGTAAGATTCCCCTTTTCTCTCTGTCTCTCTCTCACTCTTGTTCCAATAGATATGTGCGAGTCCACACGAAACACGAGATTGACATGCGTATAGGAATCCACTCTGGGTCCGTGCTCTGTGGTGTTCTTGGGCTTCGTAAATGGCAGTTTGATGTCTGGTCCTGGGATGTGGATATTGCAAATAAACTGGAGTCTGGTGGAATCCCCGGGTAACTATCAGGCCTTTTAGCACTGTCAGCAATCAATTGCCACGCTATATTAAGCAACATCAAAGCGATATTTGAAAATAAATCTTTACACTGTTGATGTTTTTGGGAGGGGTGGCAGCTAGCAGGATCTGATTTTTTTTATTTCTTCGGTTTGCAGGAGAATCCATATCTCTAAGGCAACACTGGATTGTCTAAATGGTGATTACGAGGTTGAAGAAGGACACGGGAAAGAGAGAAACGAGTTTCTCAGAAAGCACAATATTGAATCCTATTTAATAATGCAGCCAGAGGAAAGCCTGCTCACATTGCCTGAAGACATTATGAAAGAATCGAGTACCTCTTGCGACAGAAGCAACAGCGCCACAACGTTTACTGAAGGTTCCTGGAGTCCTGAACTTCCATTTGATAATATTGTTGGAAAACAGAACGTAAGACAACTTTTATCTGACCTAACTTTTCGTACACTGTAAATAATTATCATAAGTCATTCAATGGGGTTATTTGCAGGTTGATGAAACTGAGGACCATTTGAAAATTAGTTCCCTGTGTGGATTATTTCAAATGTCAAGAGTCTTGTGAACGGCAGGGGTTGTTAAGGCTTGCGATCAATTCTATCCTATACGGTCCAATTTTCCCTTGCGTATTTCCTACAATTCTTTTATCATTGCAGTGGTGGGCCCTTTAAGGCAGAGTTCTTATGGATTCAAATATCAAGTGTCTTATGCAGGCATTGTTAAGGCTTATAATCAGGTATAATTCTATACCATCCAGTTTTCCCTCTGTATTTCCTGTTCATCATCCAGGGGCCATTGCAATGATGAAAAAAACCTTGTTAGTACTTGTTTCAGCTCAAGCATTTGGTTCCCACCTTGCTCTGTGTTATAACCTCCCAAAACCTCTTTGCCTTGTACCATCTCTCTCTGACTTCAAAACACTTTTCTAAAAAAAACTATTTGACTGTGCATTGACCTATTCCCTATTCCTCTCCTCTGCACTCTCTCTCAGTGTCTGACACTATCCATACAAAGTGCTTTGTGAATTTATTTTACATGAAAGTGTGTATATAAGTGCAAGTTGCTATTGCTTACAAATAGTGTGATGTAGTACATAGATAGCACTGGGTTGTCATTAAATTAACCTTCATAGCAGACTGAGCAATAATGGCATCCATGGAAGATTATTGCAGTACAAAGAGGATAGGATGGATTTAGGGAGTAAGTTCTAAGTGTGGGGGTGGGGGGGGGTGACTAATAGAGAAGAGAGAGTGTATATATATATATAATATATATGTGAAATTATATATATATATATAGGACTTCAGAAGAACTGAAACCCAAAACTATTAATAATTAATGATCTCAGAGAGAAGCCACTTCAGTGTGAAAAGAAGAAAAGTATTAATTATTTCCCAAATGCAATGCCTTTAACAGCACAGCTGTGCTATTAACATGGTCTGAGCGACTGTGTGTTCAAGAGCTTTTGCATGACCTACAATTAAAATGACAGCAGGGAAGGAATTATTTTGCAGATGTGAAATGATAAAATGCAATGCTAAACTAGCTTTAGGGTCCCGGAATCTAATAAGTACTATCCTCTCTCGCTGTGGCTGTTTCATAAAAGTGAGAAGTCAACGTTGATACAACAACCCAAGGGGTGAAAATAAGGAGACTAATGGTTCAGTGGCAGCAAGCCAGGAGGCAAAAGGCTTCAGGATTTTTTTACGGGGTCAGAATTAGCCGTTATCAGGCCTCAAATTTCTCATGTTGTAGTACTTTTCACAGCAGAAATATGTCATTCCAACGTGAAAGACACTATACCAAATGAAAAGATTATTACTATTACTTTATGACCTGAACAGCGGTGATTTAAAAATTACAATAATGGTTGAGTTCATGCCATGGATGCTTCGCCTTAGCCATTGTCTTGTGTCCTGGCCAACAATCCCCCAGCCAAAAACATTGGTCATTCACTTCATGGCTGCTTGTGAGACATTACAGTGTGTTAATTGGCTGCCGTTTACGCCTACACATACACAGTCTAATGCAGTAAACCCTAATGCGGTAAAATCCAGTGAAGAGCTTTGAGCCATCTCAACAACGTCATAAATCTCGATAGTAAATGCAAGGATTATTAATATTATAAATTTAAAATTGCACAGAATTGTGGAGAATTCTTCAATTCAGTCTTAATTCGGAAGCCGGTTCTTTTTCTGAACTGTGGACATTCTACTATATGATACAGTTAGTATGGCACCAACTGCAGTTTTCAAACAATACAGTACACAATCACCCAAATGAAACTTCAATCAGTATTTAAAGGACTAGGTCAGTGATAATCACTGCACCATTTGCTGATACATGGATCAAAGCAGGCAGCACTCTAACTATTAAAACCATGTATAATGCAATCCCTTCCTTGATAGTGCAGTTAGAGTAATAAAAACTATCCATTATTAGTAGAGACCTAACAAAATATACTGCTGTGCAAATGCTAGCCAAACTGCAGCCCGCGGGCCAGTTTCGGCCTGTGGAGACATTAAGAACCACCCCCCACATCCCGAACGTTCGTACTAGTCTAGGTAAGTCCATGTTCAATCAATGTTTCCAGGTTTTTATTGATTGAGGACTTTTACTGGATAAATAAGCTTGTTCCATGTTCAATTTCTTATACTCAGTTGATATACTAGCAGGCCTGGCAAAAGTGGTAATAATCAGCATTCCAAAATAAAGTAATTACTAATTAGTTACTAATCAAACCCAGCACAGCCCCAACTGGGACCAGCTAATTCCACACACACTGAGGATTGAACATGGACCATTGCTGGCTATTGATGATAAATTAATTAAATTAGCCACCGGGTTAGATTCTGGGCTTTCTGGCCTTTATCACTGAAAATTCATGAGTGCCCACCAGTTATTACCAAATCACTCTCATTATATGAGTGCAGAGTAAAGCTTTGGTGAACATACATCAAGTAATGCCACTGGGAAATCAGCTGTTACTGATTTCAGCCACCCAGAAGATTGGGTAGATTTCCTTCCCCATCTATACATCTCATTCTAAGGTAATTTACATCAGTAAATACCATCAGTATTTACTGTACCCTTTGTTCAAGTTTCATCAGCTACACTGAGTTAGTTCATGAACTCTTGTTCATGCCTTCATCACTTCCAGGCTCGACTATGCAAACACCCTGCTTGTTGGCCTTCCCAACTCCTCCCTCCACAGGCTGCAGATAATCCAGAACTCTGCAGCCTGTGCCCTCTCCCGCACCAAACTCTGTGACCCCATCTCCCCCATTCTCGCCCGACTCCACTGGCTCCCTATCCTTCAGAGGATCCAGTCCAAGATCCTGTTCCTCAAAGCCCTCCATGGCCTCGCCCCACCTTAACTCTGCAACCTCCTAAGCCCCTACCAATCCGCCCGTTCCCTCTGCTTAGCTGGCCTGCTCCACGTCCCCCGACCCACCCACCCCACCATTGGTGGGAGAGCCTTCAGCCACTCTGCCCCCAACCTTTGGAATTCCATCCCCCAATCACTCCGCCTCGCCCCCTCCTTAGCCTCCTTCAAGTTCCACCTCAAGACCCTCTTCTTCGACCATGCCATTGGCCACCCCCCTTCCCCTCCTCTCCCTTACCCCTCCAACCCCAGCTCGGGTCTGAAATGCTGTACACAGTCCAGCACCTTGGAACGTCCTCCCGATGTGAAAGGCGCCATACAAATGTAATCTTGTTGTTAGTTAGTTCAGTGACTGTACATCTGATCAATGGCGGGGTCTATTTGCGGGTAGGATAGCCACCTGACTGATTTTTAAGCGGCCTGGTTATTTTTGTACTCACCCATTCCCTCATTTGCTTCAAGGTACATCTCCAGACCTTCGTCTTTGACTGTGCCTTAACTCATCGTCCCACCCCATGCCCCTTGGAGTCCTGCAGCTCACAAGGGAGAGGACCTGGGAGAGGAACAGGGGAAAACATTAGACAAATTTCCTTACTCCTCCGCCTCGGTTTACATTTCTCTCCCAAACATTCAGTTTCAGTCTAAGGTTAAAAATAACCCTCTTATTGTGGAACTGAGAAACTCACCAAATGTTAAATCTTGCTGGGAAGTGCACCTTCTTCCCGACTGTCCAAGCTGCAGAAACAGGCAACCTGCTGAGGCTGCATTGTCAGAGCCCACTGGTGTGAGTGAGGATCAGTTAATGGCTCCTTGTAAAGTGCAACAGTGAAGAGAACATTTCCTTCAGGAAATAGAGCAAGCTGAAATTTCAATTGCTTTTCTTTATTGCTGTATTTCAGTGTAGGATTTGCAGCATGTTGTGCTGAGCCCTGAACTCACTTTTCATGCGATGGTTTCCATTTGAACCTTTTAAAAAGGTTAAAGAAAGGTCTTTATGTGAAGTTTAAATATCGTAAAATAATTCCAATCTTATTTTCATTGATGTATTGATATGCTTTTCTTGTCTCAGGCACGTACAACAACAATAACTTGCATTTATATAGCGCTCTTAACATCCCAGAGCGCTTGACAGTGACGGAGTCTGACCTCGCTTATGTATTACTGCTTGCAATTCCCTCTTTATGAGATGTGTACATATGTTTATGTAAACAAGCTGAAATTGTAGTCAGTTTTATGCATAGCGCCTTTGTGATTATAACAGAGACATCCCATTCGCGTACGACATCGCCAAAGCCTCTATGTGTAAGATCGACTGGAATTAATGGTCAGTCCATCCCACAAATAAATTAATAATAATCTTTGCATTTGATACAGTGCCTTATCATGTCATTCAGATTGTATATTGCAAAGTGATGTGACTGTGAAATTTGTGGGTGAACACAGCCAATTTGCAGATGACACAGCTATGTCTATTGACCTGCAGGTTACAACAATTGACTCAGTTACTCATTAGTCAAGTTCGGTGCCCTGCTCCACTGGTTTCTTCATCGCTGTCATGTCACTGGGGCAGCTGCCAAGTCCCAGACAGCGGCCAAGACAGCAAAGAAAGTCAGGGGTCTCCTACATCTCTCAGATAGATAGTTAAAAAATCCATTAAAGGAGACTAGGAAGCATTTTGCTACTACACAATTCTATTGCATTCTGCCTGTGACCCAGGGAGAAAAATAGAAGCATGCCTGTTTCAATTTCTCTTTCCATATTATTTTCCCTTTTCATCCTTGTTCTTCCCATGCTGTGCCATCTCTTCTCAATAGCCAGAGCGTGCGCAAAAAAAGCCCACTGGTCAGTCCTACAGAAACAAGACTAACAGTGCACTGATTCCCAGTAGTCATTTACTCACATGCTAATAGTCAAACCCATCTCTAAGTTTCCTTCCTCGTTGACTGTGCCTTCAGTCATCTTTCCCCTAGCTGCCTTTGGTTAGAAAATATAAATGACTGGTTGTTTTATGACTGCTCTGAGCTTTAACCATTTATCTGCAGAGTAATTAAGTTGATTGTCAATTACACTGTGAGCAGCAGGTTGGCAGAAAATAACCTTAGCTGTGTGATATCAAAGGATAAGAGCATTTTCTTGCTCTGTCCTCAGATCCCTCTCCCAAAGCTGTTTAATAATGATTTGATTGTTGTTCAAGTATCCAGTTATTCACTTCCCTGTGGGTAAATGTACTTTTATAAAACTGTTTATTGTTTTAAAATGGTTTAGTTTTCATTTACCAAATACAATTCTAAACCTACAGCCCACGTGGGGACGGGAAAGGGAGGGGCAAGAGTGTTTTTAAGGAGCTTTAATTTGTTATGTGCATTCTACAGTGAGGTCGTTTGTTTTGTAGTGCTGCCTTGGCAAGTGGCATAAATGTGTGGTAGAGGGAACTATAGGTGGTTTATTGTTGGTGACAAAGCAATGGATGTTTTATGGATGTGGATTTTTACCACGACTGGTAGCATTTGCTGGCCTCATTTACTTTGTGAAGCCTAAAACCCTATGGTCTTATCTTTGATACCATTGTCTTAAAATGTTAAGTTTGTGCAGAAATTTCGCAAATTTAGCCTTAATTTGGAGGCTTCGGCTACTCCCGGACCCGAGCGAGACCCTACCCCCGAGCGTTCCGGGACGCTATCCCGCATGAAGGGCACCATATTAATGCAAGTTGTTGTGAGGCTGATTTTCCACAGTTCTTTTTAAAAAAAGGCTTCCAAATTAAGATTGCAGGTTCAAAATTTACCAAAATTCTCCACGATTTCAAATTTCAAGACAAAAGGTCTGAAGGCTAAGACCATGAGAGATGCTGGGCTCTTGGTGTAAATGATGTACAAGAGAATTCCCACAGGTTTTACTGATCTTGACAACTATGTTAGCCGACCAACCAATCACAAAGATAGTTGGTGTCTGAGACTGAAGGGAGAAGTCTGCGGAGTTACTGAGAGGCTCTCCTTCAATTAAACATGGAAAAATGCATGGGAACATTTTCAACACATAAATAGTCACTTAATGCTCATGTTAATTTTATAACAGTGAATTATACAACAGAGAACATTTGTATTACATTTAAAATATGCATGCTTTGAGTTCATTATTCCTATTATAAAGTGCCTGCCGATGCTCAACTTTATCAATAACTACTGCAGTTATTTTTTTTAATTAATCTTAAACAGAGTAACTAAACTGCATTATCCCATTTTGTTGGCCTTTGCAATTTGGTTCATAACTAAGTTGTTCTAAAACATTGATTAAGTCCTCCTTACACATTTCTTACACTTTAAAAGGTAACTTCCAGTGGTGAAATGTTCCTAGCTTTTCTTTCTCCATTTAATTGCTCTCAATAATGCATACCTAGTTTGCTTTCCCTTTAGTCCAGCATTCTGTGCTGATTCATTCAAGATATCTGGCTTGCTATCTAGCTTATTCTTATTTGAAAGGTGAGTAATGTTGTTGTGGAACCTTGCATCTTGTGTGGAACCTGCCCATGAGATTTTCCTCAATTAATGCTGGGTTTAATACTACATATTTATGCTTCCTGCTTTACATAATACACAGTGGATGTATTTATATCACTGGGGGGCAAATTGATTCCCTCCTGAAACCACCTCCTCAGCACCTTTTATACTGGGAGGATGTCCCAAGGTGCTTTCAGGTGATGTCACTTAGGTGGGCTCCATACATGAACTATTCGCCCTCCTGCCCATTGTATATCATGTTTAACAGGCAAGAAAAGGCATCTTGGGCATCAAACTTAAGTATTCAGAGAATACAGCGGCCAAAGGGATAAAAACTAGCTGAGGAACATTCATGTCAATTAAGCTGAATAAAAGACAACCACTACTTTACCTTCCCTGTTGTTTGAGCTATTGTTATGTGTGCATTTACGTGTGTTCATTGAGAGGCTGGTGGTGCTGGAGAATGAAGGATATCTTGTAGTCAGTACATCAGTTGCTACCCTTGGTTTGGTTTAGAGGAAGTAGCTGCAATGAGTAATTGCCTCTTTCTCTCCAGTAACATGCCTCTATGCCACCTTCCAAACTGCCTCCTGCAGTGTCACGCTTCCTCATTTCACACGCTGTTCCTTAACCGTCTGAGCAAGATTGCCAGATTAGTGTAAGTGAGCTCTAGGTCGGAACTATTTCTATGCGTGGGCTCCTGCACACAGGATTAGGACAGCTGACAGCAGTGAGACAGACGGTGATTGGTTTGGAATGAAGCCCAAACACAAGGAATGAAAAGATAATTTTCTAATCCACCAGCCACTACTTTAGCCAATCAAAATCTGGAGCAAGCCACTGCATTACAATATGGTTCAAATGTTAAACATTCAAACAACAAACGGTCTCCACAGAGCCACGAAAAGGGATATTACACCTTTAACATTTAGTGTCTGTTTGACAAATAGTGGATTGAAGACTTGACTGAGTTTGTAAAGTGCATGTTTGCTAAGCATTGTAACCTGCTTAAAGGTCATTCGACAAGGTTTCGCACTTAGTATTTCTGCATATATTCAAGGCTGCTCCTATCCCTGTAGCATTTATAAAATTACTTCTATTAAGAAACAAAGCTGTTAGTGGTTTTGATGGATTTGCGTGCAGGTTGATTTCATTTGAATTCTCTGCTAGGTCTTGTATGTTACCACAATTGTAACTTAACATTGCTAAAAAGATGGATTCACTCTGATCAGTCCTGTAGCTCAGTCCTGTAGCTCAGTGGTTAGAGCACTTGCTTTGCAAGCGAGAGACCTGAGTTCAATTCCAGGCAGGGCGAAACCTTGGGCAAGTTTCCTTACTCCACACGCCTAATAATAATCCCTCCAAAACTAAAAACAATAATAATTAAATGGGTCATTTTCAATCTACGACTGTTCGTGGGACATTGCTGTGCGCAATTGGCTGCCGCGTTCGTCCACAAATATACAGTCAATTCACTTTACAGTGTGTTCTGTGAAGCGCTTTGGGACGTCCTCCCGACGTGAAAAGCGCTATATCAAATGCAAGGATTATTATTATTATCAATACGCAAAAGGTGCAGATCACATGGGATACAGGTCACTATCTGGACTAATCACCAAGCAAAATAAAGTAAATCAAAACAAAGAACCCAAAAATAATCACATGCATTGAGCAAAACCCATTGTAAATCAATGATGAACACTAGCAAAATACTTTACGATATGTCTGCTTCTGCTGTGAAAAAAAACTGAAATTATATATTATTTATAAGAAATCAAAACATTTTTTAAAAAAGATACAAGCTATAAGATATCTTAAAATGATAGTAAAAAAATTCTGTTGGACAATAAAGAATATTTAATTATATTGGGTTTGTTTGGGGGGTGGAGGAGGAATCAGACTTTATTAACATTCTTTCACTCCTGGATTTCAAAATAAGTATAAGTGGAAAGGGAGAGGTATTTTCTATCTAGTGGGACATTTGCAAACCTTTGGCGATATTTACTTAAGATGAAATATTCATCATTGATATTCATCAAGACCATCATATTACCCACTATAATTTCACAACAAAGATTGTGCTTCTTAACTCTCAGCAAACACAGCTCTGTGGACTTTGCTATAGAAATGCGTCATGCAGCCCTGAAAGTATTTCAAATCTTAATGGATACCCATTTGTGGTATCATAGCATTTGGTTGCTTGCATTGCAGACCTGCAGTGAAAATTAATAATCAGAAGAAAACATAATTTTGGGAGCAATTTTTTTTTAAAAAAAGGATCCTCTTCATCCATTTATGGATAAACCTACACCTTGTCACATGACCTTTAACTATCCACTCTTAATGCAATTGAACAGAGGTCTAGCGGGGTTTATTCTGTTTGCATGTGCTTTCCCTAGACTCTGGCTGCCCTAACAAGAAATTCAATAAATCTGCTTCCAAACCACCTTGCACAAGCTTTGCATGTCCAGTCTGGGCCTGAGGAAATTAACAAGCGAATAGAACATGCCATCGACTTAAGGAGTGGGGATAAATTAAGAAGAGAGCATATCAAGCCTTTCTCACTGATGTTTAAAGACTCCGGCCTGGAGGAAAAGGTAGCTGGGCCACAAGTATGCATTTCGGCAGACTTAAAAGTGGATATGTTAAGTTTTAAAAGAAAGCACATAAAAGCTAGCACGAAAATAGACAAAAGCACAAATTTAGATTTTTATATTGAGTACCTTTCACCCCCAGAATCTCAAAATATAGTTAATGGAAAACAATAGAAACATGATTTACACTGTGAAAGGAAAGCCAAATAAAAGAGAAAGGTAATTTGATGTTGTGTTTTGAATCTTAAACAAGATTGGTTATTTTAATAGTTCATCAATTTGATTTGGTTACTTACCAAATATATATATATTTTAAAAATCCTTGTGATGTATTTCTAACAATGCCATTAGAAATGACTGTTGCCCTTCTATTTAATTGAAACAGCCTGTCCTCTGGTAGGCATCATCTTGCTAATTTCCCAGAACCCCCATAGAGACAGATAAATCATTGCAAAGCACTGTGGCGTGTGCATAGTTAGTGTGTTAATCTTGTGGTGTTTCTCTCTTCCAGTACTCTCAGATGCGAGATGAAGTTTTCAAGTCAAATCTGGTGTGTGCTTTTATTGTTCTTATATTTATCACAGCAATACAAAGTTTACTTCCCACATCTAGGTAAGTGTCAGTGGCTGTTCTTCCCCTCTTGAGTGGTGAATTGTTCGATTTTTCGTTGCTACTTGTACTGAAAAGCATTTTATTTTATATTCCATAACTTTGGGGGAAACTCTGATTTATTTTGCAACACTGTTCTTTGGAAGACCGAAATATAAAAAAACACAAGATGAGATCATTTAAAAAAAGACTAAAATATTGTGTCACAAACAGAACGAGGTGTGGGTTCATGCCTTACGTCAGGTCTTTGGGCTCATAGTCTAAACTGAGACTCCAATACTATGCTGGAAGAATGATGCACAGTTGGAGTTCCGGTCCTTTGGCTGAGATATAAACTGAGGTCCCATCTATCCGTTCATTGTGGATGTTAAAGATCCCATGACACTATTTCAAAAAAGAGTGTTACTACATGCCTATTTCAAATTCAAGGATTATTATTATACTAAAATAAATGACCAGGTAAGATGGAAATGAAATCTTGGTAGGTGTGAAGATAGAGAGGGAATAAAGGGAATGAAAGGATGAAAGAAGAGTGGAGTCCTGTAGCTCAGTGGTTAGAGCACTCGCTTTGCAAGCGAGAGACCTGAGTTCAGTTCCAGGCAGGGCGAAACCTTGGGCAAGTTTCCTTACTCCACACTCCTAATAATAATCCCTTCAAAAAAAATAAAAAAAAATAATAAATTGGTCATTTTCAATCTGCGATTGTTTGTTGGACATTGTTGTGCGCAATTGGCTGCCGCGTTCGCCCACAAATATACAGTCAATTCACTTTACAGTGTGTTCTGTGAAGCGCTTTGGGACATCCTCCGATGTGAAAAGCGCTATATCAAATGCAAGGATTATTATTATTATTTATTATAAGAATGCAGTAGTTTTGATAGACTTGCTAAATTTATACCCCTTTAATCCAAAGCATATCTCTTTATTCCAGTGGATAGTGAAACGTCATGCATGTTTCAATATGAACCATTTTCGCATCAGGCGCCCAGTAAAATGTTCCACTTTGATGATAAATAGAGCCAGGTGGCACACGCAAACCTGGCAACATACCACAAACCAGAAAACAAGCATTAGCTGAAATGTTAATTTTCCACAGAGCTGAGATTTTCCATCACATGCCATTTAAATACTATTTGATGTGTTTGGAAGGCAGTAAGGTGGATATTTTGGAAGGATGAGTTCAAATGGGCCGAAGGGCTGTCTTCATCTGAACCAATTTTGTAATTTTGTAACATGTAAAAAGGATGACTCATAGACACAGAGAGCAGGATGTAAAGCTGGCAAACCGTATCCAGCCATAAGGCAGAGGCCATCTGGCTTCATTGGCACAGATATATTTGGGCCTCCAGAGAGGGAGGAAGGGACCAAAACTGAGTATTATATTTCATGTGGTTAAGCTGCAAATATCCAACATAAATATGTTTTACTGATCTAGCAGTTTATGAATTATCCTGAGGGAAATGGATTAAAAAGCCACTTGCCACTAAGCACCAAGGGCTGTTTCTTTTGAACTCACTTACATTAACTGCACTGGCTCAAAATCCATTAAATACCCGATATGTCCAATTGACTTTTCCATGAGCCAGGAAAGTGTGTATAAAAGATTGGAGACCAAAAATCACTGTGTTCTGCTGGCATGACGTTAGTGAATCGCAAATTCGACCTAAATGAAGGACTGGAGATAGAGCATAATTTAGTTGTATGATGACCACATTCTAACTTCAAGGAGGTATGAAATGAGCTTTGCATCCAAGTGGAGTTCTAGTGAATACAAAGCATGATTCCATCATTTGCTAAATTAATTCACAAATCCCTGTGAATTGAACCCCATTGTAAGACTCTGCTCAGAATGGGGGTAGCTATAAACTGATCTTATCTCCATCAAAAATGGCCTTTTTTCACTTCAAACCAACTCGTCTATCTCACATATCAAGACTTCCCCTCCAGCAGTCACCAATAAATGATATGGCTGTCAGAGTGCATGACATCTGTGCGTAATACATGTGGACAATAAAATCTGGGATGCAATAAATGTTAGTATTATTTCAATCAGTGTAAAATCCAGTGCCACAGAAATCTAAACCAAGTTAACCTTGTACAGTATGTGAGAATGAGGTGAATGTAAACTGAAATGTTATTTTACGTGAAACATTTTGCTATAAATATCTTAAATGTATTTGGCTGCACAGGATGAACCTTGTTGTGTTCTCTCTTTAGGACGTTGCCAATGGTCATCCAGTTTACCATTCTGATAATGTTGCATGCTGCACTTGTGTTAGTTACTACTGCTGAGGATTACAAATGTCTGCCATTAGTCCTTCGGAAAACATGCTGCTGGATCAATGAAACTCATTTCGCAAGGAATGTCATCATATTTGCCTCCATTATGATAAACTTTCTTGGCGCTGTAATAAATATAGTATGTATTAACTAATTATTACTGTACTACTTTTTAATGAGCAATGTTATTACTATAGATAGATTTCTGGAAATGAAAAGGACTCAAGAGGCCTGAAATTCAATTTAGTATCAGCCTGTGAGACTCTCTAGTCTCAAAATTTAACTCTGCGCAGAATTGTGGAAAATTCTTATATTCAAATTTAATTTGGAAGCCGGTTCTTTTCAAAAATAAAAATGAGAGTCTTACAGGTTGAGACTTGGTAGATTTTTGAGCCTCAGATTATTAGATGATTTAGATGCATTGAAGGGATACTTTGAAAAGTTGGATGGATAAGCATGATGGACCAATTGTCGACTCCTACCTAAAACTATTATTATCTGTGTCTTAGTCAGTAATCCATAATTAAGAAAGATACTGATCTCATAGCTTCCTCTTATCTGATAATTATGTATTGTTGAAAGTGTTGCAGTCAATTTATTAGCATTCAGTGGAGCCAAGGTCCAACTCATTCCCATGCCAATGTATCGAGAACATAATATTTAGTACAGTGACACCCAAGAATGATAATGGCAGGGAAAGCAGATCTAACCGTTAAATTTTATGAAATGCATTAAACTGGACGCTATTCTTCCCTTGTCAATAGATTTATTGGCATTTGGGAATAATGTATATAATGTATACTCATAATTGATTTTGCTTTATAAGCCAGATCTTAGTAAATATACCAAATGGCAAATAATATTTACTTGCCACCAGAGGTCTATATATTTGCCCACAAGGGCGCGAGTCTAAGGTTGGAGAATAATCCCTTCATTCTGTCTAACATAATAGGAACCAAGGCTATCAGTTTATTAATTAAATGTAATTTTTTTATGGCCCAACAACTTTGATGTCAAGTGGCCTTGTTTTAGTACCTAATGCAAATAAAAGTTATAGGGGGAAAAAAATGAAGGTCCCCAATAATCAATAGAATTATACAGCACAGAAGGAGGCCATTCGGCCCATCGTGTTTGTGCCAGCTCTTTGAAAAGAGCTACCAAATCATTCCCACTCCCCGATAACCCTGCAAAGTTGTCCTCCCCATTTTCTTGGAATAGAAGGATGATGTTATGATGTTAAAATGTGATCTGACAGTCTCAAAGTAAACGAATGATTAGTTTGAATGAGTTTGTCTCCTTGTATCTAATGTTTCCTCTCTCTTCCAAATGTACTTACATCCATCTCATGTGTGTCTGTATCTCTGTGACTTGAGTCCTCCTCTACTTCTATTATGACCAGAAACTAATTGGTGGAATAGCAGGGAGTTACGCAGGATTAAGCCCTTTACAGATCCAGCAAATATCTTTCCTCTATGAAATGATATCTCTAGATAACTAACCACTATAATCTCTAATATATTTTGAGCTTCCATTTGATATCAGCATGAAATACACAGAATACAGAAACAGATATCCAAAAAAGGGCATGGTGCAGTCATTGAGTTATGTGAGTCACTTTTGCAGAGAAATTAACAGATCGGCTATTATTTTACATTTAAGAAGAATTGAACCTTTTATCCCAAATCTGAAGGCTGCCTGCTTCGATTGACCATTTGGGTCAGAGGCTTAAGGACCAATTATAGGGAGTCTTCTGGCAAGAAACCCAGTGCTGTCAACACAAAGCAGATCTTGCAATAGTCTTAATTTGCCAAATTGTTTCAGAAATGTGTGTAAGCTTTTAACACAGGCTATTTCCTCCCTTATATGAGCCAGCCACCATGTTTTACTGCACTTCCACTGAAAGCAACACAGATGTAAATGACTAATAGCTCTCGACTGCTTCTCAATAAATGTACTGACCTTAGCTAATGGGACTTAAGGTGGAAGTTTTGCCATTAGAAGTGCACACCGCTGGGGTCAGTATATTTACCAGAAAAAAAGCCCTCTTGTGTGTTTCAAAATTATCACGGTCCCATGTCTCCATTTATTTAGTCAAGATTTGTCAAAAGTCATGTTTAAATCCTTCTATTGTAGTCCAGTTTTAGGATTAACTAGACGTAATCTAGATAATTCCACAGAATTAAACAATTTGTCAGAGCAGAACTGTCTTTTGTATTGGTGTGAAACAGTTCATTGTTGTATCACCTCCATTGATACAGATTCTTTTTAAACATAATTCTGGGTTTCAGAAAAGTTTTTGAATATATGTATATTTCAATATTTTTGCAAATTATATTTGCTGAATGGTATCTCAAAACTATTTTGGGCGTTTATTAGCACATTATGTAATTTTGAAATGTATCCACCTGACATTTGAGCTTCTTTCTTCAGTTTTGGTGTGATTTCGAGAAATCTACAGCCTTAAAGAATGAGACATCCAATTCCACAGCTACATGTACAGATATATGCTTCTATCCAGAGGTATTTAAATATTTTTTATTTACAACCATTCACTTCTTTCATGTTTGATCATGTACCTCTAATACTTCAAATGTATTTTAGTACAATCCCTTTACATTATGTCTGATCATAAACTGTATAAATGAAAGAGAAATGATTCAGGATCTCAATGTTGCAGTGAAGGGTTGTGCAGAGTCAAGGAATCTTGTCCACAGGGAGTGAAGCATCCAGGAGGACTGTCTTCATGTACTTCCAGTTTCCCAAATACACAGCAACATAGGCAGAGACTGAGAAATGGGCTCAATTCCTACCCTTTCAGATAAGGAAATAGCTTGGAAGGCATAAAGGTGGGGGCAAAAAAACATGTAATGGAAAGAGTGTGAGAAGTAATTCAACTACAACAAAATTCAATAAAATGGCTATATTAAGCTTGCTGATACAAAATTAGCTGCCATTTATGGAGTTACAGTACTAATCTGATTCCCCCCACTGTGTTTTATCTGTTTAGTATTTTGTGTTTACCGGAGTGCTGGCAATGGTGACTTGTGCAGTGTTTCTCCGTCTGAATTCCATCTTGAAGCTTGCCGTGCTAATGATCATGATAGCAGTTTACTCTCTGCTGACCGAAACCATCTACAGCTCGCTCTTCATTAGATATGACAACTTTCATCACAATGGAGAGTGAGTACTTTATATGCTACTCCACTATTACTCAGGGATGCAGCCTTTATTGAAAGTTATGATCTGTTTATGCTTTTGCTCACTGAGCCAGAAATATTAATATTTATAGAGCTAATGGGGAATCTTTCAGTGTCTACTTTAGATAGACGATGGAGCGGTGTATAAGCAGAACAAGCTCATAATGTCATATACTTTTGTCACGGTACTCTTTATCTCTGGGTGAGAATTACATGCTCCTTCCAGGTGCACTCTGAAAGGAGCGATCCTTCTCTCCTTTTATGTTGAAGATAGGTGCCTGGTAGGAGCAGTCTGACAAGTTACACCAAACACTTGGCAATTAAAAAATATTCCTAATTTATTCAAACCCATAGGCTTCAATATATATATATATATATATATTCCCGCATTTGGAGCATTCAATGCAAAAATAAACACAACTCTTATATAATACATTGATAATATTATGTTAATATTACTTTAACAAGGCATAATATCCCATACTTTATAAGATGTATAATCACTGATGCTCAACACTTGGACCACCGGGGTAAACAAATAGAATAACCTTACCCCAAATTCACATCTCCTCAAAGTTCCTCAGATTCAGAGTTTTTATAATTATAAAATTTATAATTTTATAATTTTTATAATGTCAGTGTTTGTTAAAAGTCCAAACCTCAGCAACTCCCCATATAACACCACTCCCTCTCTTTTATACCCTTAATATGCTTGTGTGACTTATTTATCAATTCTCCGTTCTCCGTACTTTGACAATTTGAAAACATGACACTTGTTAACTAATCTATCATTCAGAGTAAAAGACTCTGACCATAAAACCCATTAACTCACAAAATCTAACAAAAACACCATAAACCAAAAGCACTTAAACCAACATTTTACACCTTAAGAAAGATAAACAGATTGATATCTCAATTTAACTAATTATCCGACTCTGAATACCTGTGAACCCTTTTCCTGAACCCGAATATTTACCCTATTAATTCTTTACTACCTCACACTTTCAAATAACTAATTTTGAATAACAGTAAATTACTGAAATTTGTTGCAATGATGTTGCAATGATTGTCAAAGAGCAATGTTAGAAGATAAATGAAATCAGTGGAGACAGAGTGATTGTATGTGGCTCAGGCCAGGATACCTAAGGTACACTGGGAGATTCAGGTAGAAGGGATGTCAGAATAAATTAATATTGTGTAGGTTTTACTCAATTGCCTTTGAGATTCATGGAGTGTCTATGCAATAACAACAACAACAACAAGATTGCATTTATAGAGCGCCTTTCACGTCGGGAGGACGTCCCAAGGCGCTGGACAGTTGGGTCAGGACCCGAGCAGAGGGGAAATGGTCAGGGTGAAGGGAGGGAGCGAGGAGGAGGTAGAGAGTCGAGAGGGGAGGTGAAGGCATGGTTGAAGAGAAAGGTCTTGAGACCGGCCTTGAAGGAGGAAAGGGAGGAAGCAAGGCGAAGGCACTGGGGGATGGAGTTCCAGAGCCTCGGGGCTGAGAGGCTGAAGGCCCGGCCACCGATGGTAGGGCGGTTAGGGTGGGGGATGTGGAGCAGACCGAAGCCAGAGGAACGGAGGGTCCAGGCAGGTAAGAAGGAGGATAGTAGGTCGGAGAGGTAGGAGGGAGCAAGGCCGTGAATGGCCTTATAGGTGAGGATGAGGATCTTGAATTCGATCCTCTGGGGGATGGGGAGCCAGTGGAGGTGAGCGAGGGTGGGAGTGATGTGGTCGCGAAGCCTGGTGCGGGACAGTACACGAGCTGCAGAGTTCTGAATGACCTGCAGCTTGTGGAGGGAGGTGGCGGGAAGGCCGGCGAGGAGAGAGTTCCCATAGTCCAGCCTTGAGGTGACAAAGGCGTGGACCAGAGTTTCAGCAGCGTGAGGGGTGAGGTAGTGCCATAGTCTGGCGATGTTCCGGAGGTGGTGGAAGGCGGTGCCAGTTGTGGCGCGAATGTGGGGAAGAAAGGACAGCTCAGGGTCGAACAGATCACCGAGGTTCCTGATTGGCTTTGAGAGGTGGAGAGTGCAGCCTTGGATGCTGATGCTGTCAGCGCCTGAGGTGCGGAGGCGCTGACGTGAGCCAATCAGGAGGGCCTCAGTTTTGCACATGATGAGCTGAAGAAAGTTGTCTCTCGTCCAGGACTCGATGTCGGACAGGCAGCTGTCAGGACATCGGTGGTCGTGGAGTTGAGGGTAGAAGAGGAAAGGTAGAGTTGGGTGTCATCCGCATACATGTGGAAGTTAACTCCATGTCTGCGGATGATGTCATCAAGGGGGAGCATATAGCGGGTGAATAGGAGGGGGCTGGAGGAAAAGCCGTTAGCAGAGACAAAATGAACACGGTGGGAGAGGTAGGACTAAACCACTCAAGGACAGAGCCTTGAAGGTTGAAGTGGGAGGACAAGCGGTAGAGGATAGAGTGGTCGACCGTATCGAATGCGGCCGATCGGTCGAGGAGGATGAGGAGGCAGAGGGAGCCCTGGTTGCAGATGGTCAAGATGTCATTAGTGACCTTGACCAGGGCGGTTTCCGTGCTATGGGCAGCATGGAAACCCAACTGGACGGTTCAAAAAGTGAATGGGTGGAGAGGAAAGAGCGCAGCTGGGAGGCAACGCCTCTTTCGAAAACCTTGGACAGGAAGGAGAGGTTGGAGATGGGCCGGTAGCTTGATAGCTGCGATGCATCAAGGGAGGGTTTTTTTCAGTGTGGAAGTGATGGTGGTAGTTTTGAGGGTAATGGAAACAGAGCCAGAGGAGAGGGACATGTTAATGGTGTCTGTGAGAAGTGGGGCAAGGAGGTGGAGCAGGGAGATCAGGAGTGGAGTAGGGATGGGATCCAGGGAGCACGTGGTGGGTTTCAAGGACAAGATGAGGTTGGTGACAGAGGGTGGGGAAACGGGTTCGAAGGTGCGTAGGGGAGGATGGGTAGGAGTCGGAGTGTGGGAGCGGATTCCCAGGGGGAGGAGATACTGCAGAAGGTGTTGGCTTGATGGATGAATGGCCCTTTGTCATTCCATACAATTTAGAAATCAGAGTTGGTTTTGATTTTCTAAAATTTTACTTTTGCTGCTATTTTTAATCTTATATGACTTTGCATGACACATATATTTAGTAATGAAGGACTAACCCAGCTATAAGATGAGTGAATGTACTTATTACACTTGCACTTATCAGACATTTCTCTCAGATTTCTGCTTGCCTCCAGTGTGCTGTCTATAACAATAAGGATTGCCTGAATGTTTTTCTTTGTAGCAGAGACTTCCTAGGAACGAAAGAAACATCCCTGTTGCTGATGGCAATGTTTCTTTTGGCTGTGTTTTATCATGGACAACAGGTACTGAAAAGCTTTGAATGCTCAATATGTTTGACATTACAATGCATTCATTTATCCCTACCTCCCCATTCCCTTCTTGAAACTTGATAGCGTTTTGTTCAATGTCGTTGCTTTTTCATGATGTTGACAAAGTATCCTGCGGGAGATGGTGCAGGAAAAGGGGCCCAGGCTAAATACATTATTTGTCGATTGTAAAATATAGAAAAACTGACAAAATTTAGATATGGGTTCAAACAACAGGCACATCTGTGTATATTGCTTTGCAAGCGAGAGACCTGAGTTCAATTCCAGGCAGGGCGAAACCTTGGGCAAGTTTCCTTACTCCACACGCCTAATAATAATCCCTCCAAAACCAAAAACAATAATAAAAAAAATTGGCATTTTCAATCTACGACTGTTTGTGGGACATTGCTGTGCGCAATTGGCTGCCGCGTTCGCCCACAAATTTACAGTCAATTCACTTTACAGTGTGTTCTGTGAAGCGCTTTGGGACGTCCTTCCCTCGTGAAAAGCGCTATATCAAATGCAAGGATTATTATTATTATTATTATTATTATTATATAACTTGCAAACTTCAGTCTGACAATGCAGGGCTCACCTGACTTGGGATCAAGTTTCGCTTTTTTAACTTATAGCATTTTTGCAGTATAGAAGGACTTGGAGAGATTGTATTTAAGTTTCAAAGAGCAAGTCAAAGATTTCTTGCAGCTTAATTGGTTCCCAACAATTCCAAGTCAGTAAGTGATCATTAAATCTGCATATGAATATTTGCATACAAATAACAAGAATTGCAAATGACAACTTTTTCTTCTAGACCCTGGGAATTGCACATGACCAGAGTGACATGTGAAATGTCACTAGCATTCTGTGTGCAAATTTTGAATTGATACAGAGTACTGTATCAAAGGGCGAAACCTTGGGCAAGTTTCCTTACTCCACACGCCTAATAATAATCCCTCCAAAAAACAAAACAATAATAAATTGGTCATTTTCAATCCATGACTGATTGTGGGACACTGCTGTGTGCAATTGGCTGCCGCGTTTCGCCCACAAATCTCCGGTCAATTCAATTTACAGTATATTCTGTGAAGCGCTTTGAGACATCGAGAAGACGTGAAAAAGCGCTATATCAAATGCAAGGATTATTATTACTGCAGTTGTAAGAGCTCTTGTTCTCCTTCCATATCTTTGGAGGTCTAGCCTTAATGTTCGCATACTATTATCTTTGGGGGAAGAGATAAGCAGGGCCTTTTTGTCAAATGAACTTGTCATGAGCAACTGGGAAAAAGAGTACACATCAATTTTTGCTCTTAGTTGATTTGGTCTCATTTAACCACTTCTAACAGGTTGCGTAATTAAACAGAAAGCTAGTTATTCCCTTATGGGAAATCAAAAGGATGGACATATTTTTCAGAATAATGCAGGGTGAACTAATAATGATTCAAAGGATCACAAGATTGGTTTGGATAAATAAGGCCCTTCGGCCACAATTATCTCATCCTTCCAGAATACCTGCCCTACCATCATCCCATCAAAGCACCAAGCTTCAACTGCCCTTGAGCTTAGCAGGAGGCTGATTTGCTCTTGGTGGGAAGAGAATTAACAATGAAACATTTGATTGAAATAGCGTCCAGTCTGACTATGCTAAACTCCTTTCTCGCCAGACTTCCCAACTTTTCTCTCCACAAACTGAAGATGATTCAGAACTCGGCAGCTTGTGTCTTCTCCTGTGTCAAGTTCTGTGAACCTATCACCCCCATCCTTGCCCGGCTTCACTGGCTCCCCATCCCTCAGAGGATTGAGTTTAAGACTCTTGGCCTCACCTTTGAAGTCCTCCATGGTCTTTCTCCTCCCCACCTCTGCAACCTTACCAACCTGCCATTCCCTCTGCTCCACAGGCACCGGCTTGCTCCATATCCCCCATCCTGCCCACCCCACCATTGGTGGTCGGGTCTTCAGCCTTTCTTCTCCCACCCCTTGGAGCTCCTTCCTGAAATCCCCTCACTTCACCCCCTCCCTTGCCTCCTTCAAGGCCCATCTTTTTTTGACCATGCCTTTGGTCATCCTCCCATCCAACTCCCCCCTTGCCCTCTACGCCTCTTGAATGCAACCCCCAGCTAGAGGGCAAACCCTCGACTGTCCAGCACCTTGGGACCTCCCCATGACGTGAAAGCGCTATATAAATGCAATTCATTATTGTTGTTGTTTAGCTGGAATATACCGCAAGACTGGACTTCCTTTGGCGAGTTCAGGCAAAAGAGGAAGTCAATGAAATGAAGGAACTCCGAGAACATAATGAAAATATGCTTCGGAATATTCTACCAAGTCATGTTGCACGACATTTCTTGGAAAAGGATCGAGATAATGATGTAAGTTAATTTAAAATGACAGAAAATATTAGAATATTTACCTTTGGTTTCACTATACAGCAATTTCTTACTTCAATATTTGCTTCCCTAGTAATGGGCAAATAAAAGAAGCTGCTTCAACACTGACTTTAACATTGTGATATATATGATTGTGGAATTAATACTAATTACAATTCACGTTGTATCTGGTGGTGATGAAATCCGTCAATTATTCACCTTCTGGTCTACCCTGGCACATTGTTATTAGACAATAGCCATTTGGGCTCCTTCCTCCAACCATGTGCACAATGTCCATCTCAAGACATACCTCTTTGACTACGCCTTTGGTGTTCTTTCCCACTCACACCCCATTGGCCCCCACTCAAAGTTGTCAGGCGCTTTGAGTTATCCTCCTGACATGTAACGCGCTTTATAAATTTTAACTGCATTGTATTGTATCCTTATACTATTAGTGCTGTCCCTTGTTGAACAACACTTCTTTCATTTACAGTGAACCTCCTGAATTTCCAGTTAAGTGTTAATTATAATGTCAGTACCGGTATTTACTGGCATTATTTGGTGCCGGCTTTTATCAGTGCTGAAAAATGCTGGTAAATGCCAAAACCGTTATTGTAATTGTTTGAATCCCTCGACCAGAAGATAGCAAATAAGCTGTCTGCTGCTTGCGGGATTGAAACTGAGACAAAGTCAATCTCTCTGGCCACTGAAGGCCAGCAAGCATGGTGAGGCGGGGGCTGTGGTGAAATTCCTGATGTCCGGAATTTGTACCTGGCTGGACCGGACCTGAAACTGGGATTGTGACAAACCAAAGAATAACGATACATTGCATTAATAATGCTGTATTACTAGTTCATTTCAATGTACCAAAGGTCTTTTGATAAGTTATGTTCTTGAATTATATCAGTGTCACACAGTTGAGGAATAATGTTACTATATATATCCACATTTGCCTCAAAGGACTAACTGTTCACAGTGACTCAAATTGCATTGAAACGACCGTTTATTTGTATGTCAGAAACATCCCCGAAAACTATCCATCAAATCGTACAATGAACGCCTGATTGCAAAACAAACGGATTACGGATCATAGATATTGCACATTCGTCAGTCTTTTGTGGCAAGATGAAAAGGCTAGTCGCAAAAGCCAAATTGACAGCAAGAAAAATGCATGAAATTTATGTTCTAATTATTAATCCAAAAATTATTGCCAAGAAATCCAAAGCAGTTAATTAATGCTGTTAATTAATCAGAATTAAAACTGATTAGCTTTACTACATTTTCAAAGCACCCGTCACATCACCTGTTACACCAGTTGAAGAATATAACTTTGTCTGATGTTGCTCAAAAAGGTGGTTTCATCGCAAATTCAGCCCCCCCGTCCCAAAGCAGCAGTTTAACATTTCTGTTGCCCACACCGACCATTGCTCTATTGACAATGTGTAGCAAGAAATTCAGGAAGTAAATTGCTAGTGAAGACCAATTAGTATTTAGATCTATAAATTTCATCTTGCAAAATTGTAAGAACGTATCCCTGAGGGATTGGCGCTTGTCTTTCATTGATTGCCATTATTCTTTTCGTCCATCAGGAACTTTATTCGCAGTCCTATGACTCTGTTGCAGTGATGTTTGCATCAATTCCAGGATTTGCAGATTTCTACTCTCAAACCGAGATGAATAACCAAGGAGTGGAATGTTTACGTTTGCTGAATGAAATAATTGCTGATTTTGATGAGGTAACTTTAAAATCATCAGTAGTATATAATATAAATGCTTTAACAAGATCTTATCCTATTATTTTATCTATTCTCCACCCTTCCCCCCCATCCCACCAGGCTCGGGTGAAGCTTGTGAAGCTTTGTTATTTACTGATGGCTTTGTTATGTCACTTGTGTGAAATAAACGAGATCTACTGTCCCCCCACTAAGTAACCTTGCTCCCTGGATGCTCCCTCGCACCTGCTCATGCTGATATGTTCACTGAATGAAGACTGCCTGCACAAGAGGATTTTACTCCTGTGGTTTGATGTGCTTTGGCTGGTTACCTTTTCACCTCATACCATGCTGGCTAGGCATTGATTTAAATGGAGCTTAATCGCTAGAGTTTAGCACAAGCTTACTCAGCGCCCAGAATCAATATCATAATGGGCCATTTCATACCCTGCAGTACACTGAGGGGATTAAACACGCTGACATCAAAGCTGCAATGTGGCCCAGCTTGGTTATAACATTAGTCGCATCATGAACCAGAGATGGGGAAATCAGAGGGTAGGTAACATATTCATTACATGCTCTCAGTGGGAGCTCCTTACACAATGAAATGCTCAAAGGGGGAAATCCCATTTCTGTTGGTTTAACTGTGACTGCCAGGTATGAAAAGTTTCTCACATTTTTAAGAACATTTCTTGTTTATACAAATATATTTGTAATGACATGAAAACTTGGAAAACAGTCTTCAATTCTGTCTTAATTTGGAAAACAATTTTCCTCAGTGCCCGGGAAGAATTGTGAAAAATCAACTAATATCGTCTGATTTAACCAGTCACTTAAGACTGTTTTCCAAAATGTTGTAAGATCTTACATTTTAAGGCAATGAGTGTAAATTGAAGAACATGAAGAATTTTGATACCTACTTTGCCACCTGAAGAGAAAGTGAAAAATCATAGAATCATAAAAATTACAGCATAGAAGCAGACAGGCCAAGTGACCTGTTTCACACAGAAGTATATCACTTGGTACATCAAGCCTCTGCCGGTGTTAGCTCATCCATTGGAGCTAACTTATCTCTTACTATAATCCCCTATAACAGCGTAGGAGGAAGTCACAAAGAACAAGGTTGTTTGGCCCATCAAGCTTCTTCTAATGCTCAGTCTTCTCTGGAGTTAACTAATCCTAATTCCCTGCTCTTTCCCATACTATTTTATATTCTACAGATGGTAGTCAAAATGAGATACCAGTGTCTTCAGAGGTACTGACCAAAGGACAGGAGGTGACTGGTAGACTAACCCTAATTATTTCCAGGGGTAATAATCCCTTCAAAAAATAATTTAAATAATTTGGTAACTCAATCCACTACTGTTTCTGGGACACTGCTGTGCACAATTGACTGCTATGTTTCACCCACAAAATATACAGTCAATTTATTTTACAGTATATTCTGTGAAGCGCATTAGTACATCTGCTTGTGCAGATGGACATGAAAGATCCCATTATACCATTCAAAAAATGATGTCCTGAACAACTATTCCCCAGATAGAATAGCTATTCACTGTATGGCTGTTTATGGGAAATTGCTGTGTGCAAATTGAATGCAGCATTCCCCAACAAATACACAGTCACTCCATAATAAATCCTGTGTAGCGCTTTGAGACACCCTCCCAACATGAAAGATCCTATACCAAATAAAGGATTATATATATATCAGCAAATTTAATTATTTCATTAGAATATATTTTCAAAAGCAAAACACTGTGAAAGGTCTACTTGTGTTGTATGCAAAAGTGCCTCTTTTGTGTTGAAGTGTTTATCTTTTTGTGTCTTATAGTTGCTGGGTGAAGAGCGATTTCAGGACATTGAAAAAATTAAAACAATTGGAAGCACTTACATGGCTGTCTCAGGACTATCTCCTGAAAAGCAGGTAAGAAGAAGCAATCAAAATGTGTTCTTGACAATTTATAAGTGTTTTTTCACTAAATATTAGATGTGAATACTGTACAGTGTTTATCAAATGTTTGAAATGTTATCAAAGTTTACTTTTGTGATCTACCATTTCCAGCAATGTGAAGATAAATGGGGCCATCTTTGTGCTCTGGCAGACTTTACTATTGCTTTAAATGAAAGTATACAGGAAATAAACAAACATTCCTTCAATAACTTTGAACTCCGTATTGGTGAGTATGACTTGAATGTATGTGTATTTCCTGAATATGCATGTTAATCCGTAGTTGTATGTGTCCTGGCAGTTTCTCCATATTCTATTAGTATTTAAAATACATATGTCTTTGTATGTGAAAAGCTTTTTAGCATATCAGTATGTATTTTTGTAAAGTTTGGAGCTCACTAGTTGACCTAGTTTTCATGTAGACTATAATTAGTGCAGTATGTAGATGGTAGCATGCTTTGTGTGTTTGTTCACAGACAGGGGTTTAACTATGTACTAGTTTCACTAGTTTCGGAGAGGAAACATGGACCCAACAAAAGAAACGTTGGCACAATCATGAAGGGTATGAAAAACGCATAGAGCCACAAACATATTCTGTCTAAACGTAAAGCTGAAAAATCTCACGAGAATGAGGAGCATGAACATTTATAGTTCCAACCTTCAGTTGTTTACTTAGTATCTTGCTTAAGTGTAGCAACGATAGAAATAGCTTTCCTTAGATTTCCTAGGTTGAGAGATTACCACCCTTCACCATTGAATCAGCTTCAACACTCCCGCTTCACCATAAATGGCCAGTCCACTTATGACGATGTTGCTCATACAGTATTTTAAAGACATTTATGCAGTGAACTCTTCCTTACACTCTATAATATACAATTTATTAAGCACTCTAGCAATACATAATGGCAGAACATCTGCCTGCATGCACCTTTTCTTTTTAACATTAATATTAAGATGTTACTCAAAAGTAATTCATTTTATTGTTTTTTTTAAACAATATATTAGGCACATTAAAAGAGATTTAAAGGACTTTATTGAAAGTTTCTGTAAATTACATAAATTAAACTGAATTGGGTTTTGGTGCTGCAGGTTATTTTACCTTAATCACTTATATGTTTGGTCTTTATGATCTTCCATGCTGATCCCTGTGAAATAAGAGTGAAGTTTTGTTTTGTGTTCCAGGTCATTCCTATCTTAGATGCAAATCACTCAAGTCTGTAAAATGGTTCTGTCGTAAACTTTGCTTTTATAGTTCCTGTATCTTCAGTAGTTTGTGTTTACTGTGCCTGCCAAATGTTGCTGATTTGACAGATTTGTGGATGTTGCTTTCTTTTTATATTCTTTTACTTCCGAAGAAGCAATGAAAGTCATTGCATTAGCAAGATGTTAAATTGCACCTTTTCTGGCGTAAATGTGTTTGGGCACTTCAGTAATGTGCTCGTAATACACTTTCCCTTTGTTTCCAGGTGTTAGCCAAGGTTCAGTTGTTGCTGGGGTCATTGGTGCTAAGAAGCCTCAGTATGATATCTGGGGTAAAACTGTAAATTTAGCAAGCCGCATGGATAGCACAGGCATTAGTGGCAAAATTCAAGTGCCTGAAGATACATATCTTATCCTAAAGGACAGAGGATTTGCCTTTGAGTGCAGAGGCGAAATATATGTCAAAGGGATAAGTGAACAAGAAGGGAAGATTAAAACATATTTTCTTCAGGGAAGAGTTCAGCCAAATCCACTTATCATGCAACCAAGGAAGCTAACCGGTCAATATTCATTAGCTGCTGTTGTCCTTGGACTTGTACAGTCTCTAAACAGACAAAAACAAAAGCAAATTCTGAATGAGAACAATAACTCTGGAATCATAAAGGGACACTACAACAGAAGGACACTACTTACTTCTACTGTACCTGAAGCAGTCGCACAGGTTGAAGGCTCAGAAAAAAATGAATTGCCATAATAACATTTGATTCGTGTTGAAATTTTGTATTTCTTTTATATATATATACAATAAAAGGTTTAATTTTTTTAAAACTGGTCGAGTGTTTGAAAGTGTGCATCGTTTACGCCATTTATCCCTGAAACTGAGAAATCAATAGAATGAAAGAGCTTTGAATAGCGGATATCCAGTTATTACAGAGGGATAAACGCACCTCATGTAATACATAACACAAGTACACACTTTACATAAGTTTCACATATGACTAATAGGAAAGGACATTTATGAGTCTACTATAAATAAGAAGACTAGCGAAACAATTCACTTTAACAGGCAAAAAGAGAAGCAGGAATATCTTGTAATTGTTTCTGAACTGTTACTTCCAGCTCCACTGATGACTCAAAGGTTAAGTACACTTCATACTATCATCCTGAGCCAGGAAGGTTGCAGGTTTAATTCCATAGCACTGGAAGGTTGCTACAATTGGCTTCAGCAGTCTTAAGTTGTCATAATAATCAATCCAACACAAATTTACATTTATATAGCGCCAATCACCTCGGGAGGACGTCATCCTTACTTTTGCTATTGGGGAGGGATTGCTCTGCACTGAGCCTTGCTGTAATGCTGAGTAATGACAAACCTGCATTGTCTATTTATCTTCAAATAGCTTATTGAAATTCACTGGGCCAATTACACACGGTTTGTAAACCCTATTCATTTATACAATTAAAACAATTAAGGGCAGCTGTAAATCTCTCTGTACATGTGCATTTACACATGGAACATACAATACAATTTACATCTAAATACACTTTACACCGCTGGCTGGGAACCCGAGCTGGGGGTGGGGGTGGGGCAGGGGCTTGGGGAGGCGATGAAACGTGTGGTCAAAAAGATAAGACAGACTTTGTTAAGACATTATCCCGACATGAAAGGCTCTATCTAAATACTATTAGTTGCTTTTGTTGTTGTTTATAGCACAGTTTTACACATGGCACAGAACAGATCCGCCGTCTGGACCCATGCATATCGCCCACAAAATATACAGTCAATTCGCTTTACAGTATATTCTGTGAAGCGCTTTAAGACATCTCGAACACTTGATAAGGCACAATAAAAAAGGCAAGGATTATTATTATATTATACATGAAGAAAATCCAGTTGAATCTAAAGTATTGAGGAACCTCGAGATCCTTGCAACGGTCACCTCTCTGAGGAGGGAAGAGACTCTCAGCAAAAAAAACAATCACTTCTTACTGTTTCATCTTTCTGTGGTTTGTCAAACTCTATTGAAAAAGTCAATCTGTAAAGTTATAGATAGAATAAAATCACCAGCCACGCAAAAACTTTTACAAGTAATATTTAGCAAGCGTTGGGTTCATTCCAATATTAGAGACAAGACTGAAATTAGTATAAATTGAAGCTTCAAAAACATTTCTAAATAACATTTTAACTTTCCACCCTCCTCTCCACCATCAATCTGCAGTATATAGACATGAAACTCACTGGTTTGGAGTTTGCTGAGCCTATGGGATTGTTTGGAGAGAATAAAGTAAGGTCCTGTTCCTGGTCCCTCTACATCACCATCTACTGGTAGAATGTGTGTACAGCAGCCAGGTGAAGAGAGGTTAGGTTTGACACCCTCTGCAGTTGACTGGCATGTCAATACTCACTGTCAAAACTCAACGTAAATAACATTATGTGGATATAAGAGAGTAAGCAGGGCCCATATAATAATGATAATAATAATAATAATAATCCTTGCATTTGATATAGCGCTCTTCACGACTTCTAGACGTCTCAAAGCGCTTCACAGAATATGCTGTAAAGTGAATTGACTGTATATTTGTGGGCGAAACGCAGCAGCCAATTGCGCACAGCAGTGTCCCACAAACAGTCGTGGATTGAAAATTACCAATTTATTATTGTTTTTGGTTTTGGAGGGATTATTATTAGACGTGTGGAGTAAGGAAACTTGCCCAAGGTTTCGCCCTCTGCCTGGAATTGAACTCAGGTCTCTCGCTTGCAAAGCGAGTGCTCTAACCACTGAGCTACAGGACTCCACATAACTTTTTGGGTTTCAGTGCTCCCCTTGTCGTATAAAATATAGTTCTCCTCGTTTACTCCTTTAATGCAAATTTTACTTAAAAATAAACCTCAAATGTCATGAACAGGAATTCACTATATGTGATACTGCACTGACTCAGATAGTACCTACTGTGAGTAGTGCATCTCCCATCCTCTATCGGGCTGCCTCATCTCCATTGCAATATGCACAACAATAACTGCTACCCTCAGGCTTTTGGGAAGAAACCTCTATACTATTCACTGCACCCGCTTGCTTTAATCTTACCATTCATTAAACTCAATAATCCCAGATTCTGGATAAGCCTTAACTTTCTCCAACTAAACATCGACAAAACTAAACAAATACTTAAAAACGACAGTATTTTGTGCGCAATTGAAGAATAGCAGACTGAAAGATACATTATAATGAAGATTGGTGGTTTATATAGCACAAAACAATTTACATTATTTAGCGACTTTCACATCAGGAGGACATCCCAAAGTGCTTTATTATTGATTGATTTACTTATTCCATTGTTCAGTGTTGAAGAGGTGCAATATTTATTAAAGTTTGCTCCTGTCTTTGCCTTTTTATTTGTAGTGATAGCCTTTTGTTGGTTGTGCATGTGACGCACTTCTAAGATATTGGCCTTATTTAGAAAGCAGCTTATTGCTGTGATTGAAGGATGATAGGGTGGGTTTTCTGGAAGGATGAGATCAGAAGAGGCTTCTTCATCCAAACCGTCCCTGTGATCATGTTAATTGAAGGATCGGCACTGGTGGGTGAACATAGTCAAATGCATACAAAATACCCACAACAAGGGCACACATTTAAGATAATCTCAAAAGGAATTAATGGAAAAGTTAGAAAACATAGTATTAGACAAACTAAAACTTGTCTGTGGAGACTCGCGGTCTAAAGTTCTTTGCCACAAACAGTTATTGAGGGAAAATCCATATATTCTTTTAAAAAAGAATCAGATGCATGCATGAGACATACTTGAAAAAGAGGATTGTAAGCTCAGGTATGTAAATATAATAACAATCCTTGTATTCAATACACACTAGTGCATTTAATGTTGGGAACATGTCTTAAAAGCACTGCACAGGATGTATTGTAAAATGTAGTGACTGTATTTTATAGGTGAGTCAATTTCAGCACAGCAATGTCCCACAAACAGCCAGGAAGTGAACGTGTAAGTGTTCATTGATATCAGAGTCACAGACGTCAGTCAAAAAAGGGGCTTAGTTGCAATGCAAGGCAGTTACTTTTCTACAACCATTGTCACGCACTGTGAACAATTCATATGTTAACCTATTTCTCTCAAAATATGCAGAGTACATATAAAATATACTAGAAAACAAAATGTTCTTACAAAATGCTGCTTCATTTCTAAAATAATAAGGCAGTGTATGACAACTTAAATATAGGCTTCAGCCTTTAGTTGTAATGAATAGATTAGCATTTGCTAGTGCCATCAATCTTTTGCTAAAGTGCACACTCTGCATGGACTATGAAATTATGCACAAGAAGAAATTACTGTTATTATTTTGCACTTAAAGAGAGTCTCCCTATCGATATCCTTTTTAAAATGTAGAAATTAACATGAATTTGTAGACTTTGACATACAGGGTTTTTTTGTGTTTATGTAATCGGACCTTGCATCATAAAAATGTGGCAAACGTAATCTCGGCTTGTTTACGAATGGTATAATTACATCAAAATACATCATCACATCACCCCCACTTCGGAGTCAGGCTCCCCCACTGTTAAGCTCTCTGAGATAAGACCCTGCATGGACTTGCAAGCTGTTGTTGTAAGCGACGAAAAACAACCAAATCCTCTTTTCTTTCCAAAATACTTTTTGTTTAATGAATTGGGGGATTATTATGTGTCAGCCTGGTAGTACTCTTGCATCTGAGTCAGAAGGTTGTGATTTCAAGCTCATATCGGGATTTGGAACTTATATAAGTCTACGCCGACACTTGAATGCAGTGCTGGGGGGATGCTCCATTACTGGAGGTGTATCCTTCGGATGAGACATTAAACTGAGGTTCCGTCTGCCCCTTCAGGTGCACATTATAGATCCCATGGCATTATTCAAAAAGAGAAGTGAGTTTTCCCTGGTCCCGGCCAATAATCCCCCAAATAAAATTGGACATTCACATTATGTCTCAAAGCGCTTCACAGAATATGCTGTAAAGTGAATTGACTGTATAACTGTGAGCGAAACAATGTCCCACAAACCGCTGTGACATTGTTATATCATTGTTATAAATTGTTCCTTATCATTCATTTAATCAAAGTGCAAAAATTACTTCACAATGCTTAGCTCTCTCTGGACACATTCATTTACACACGGTTAACATAACCTGGAAATTAGATTCCACAAGACAAAACAATGAGCACTTTGCCAATCAATAGAGTGTCTTTCATCCTTCAGTGAGAATCGTGGACATTCAACATTCACCACAGGAGTTGATGAGCCTCTACTAGACTAAACAAAACCCAGCACTGACTGTAATTCTTCCATGAAGTCCACAACATGTATTATGAAAGATAATTTGAACTGCTTGCGATGTCTGCTTTGTGTGGCACGTACGGTAGTGGTATGCATTCCTTATTTAAGGAACAGCTTGATGCTGTCATGTAATATGTTAGGGTTAGTACTCTGAAAGGTTGGGATCAAATGAACTGAAGGATCATCTTCACCCAAACTGGTTTTAGGAAAATATTTCTGCTGGGTCTGGGTCACTTTATATAATTACTCTGTATCAATATGCAAGTAGGTGACACTTTTCCTCATGTTCATGTTGAGCCAAAGCTCTCTGAAAGCTCTTCCTGATGCTGTAAAGCAGTGGTGGTCAACCTTCACGGTTGGCCAACAAAATATTTTTTCTTGATTGAATATTTCTTGATTTATGCCATACTAACGATCAAATCCGGACTTACC